AGAGGAGGCTGTGCCACTGGACCCTATAGGCCATGCTACCAAGACAGGGAGTCATAGCGGCTCTACCTAATACATAGAAACAAACACAGGGAAGCTGCCACAACAAGGAGACAAAGAAACATGGCCCAAATGAAAAAAAAGAAAAAAACACATCAAAACTGCAGAAAAAGAACTAAACAAAAGGGAGAGAAACAATCTACCAGATGCAGAGTTCAAAACACTACTTATAAGAATGCCCAAGGAACTTAGTGAGGACGTCAGCAGCATAAAAAAGATTGAGGCAGAAACCAAGGATTCACTCATTAAAATAAAAAGCAGTTTACAGGGAAACAACTGTGGAGTGGATGAAACTGAGAATCAAATAAATGATTTGGAACATAAGGAAGCAGAAAACAACCAATCAGAACAACAAGACAAAAAAAAAGAACTCCCCCCAAATGAGGGCAGTGTAAGCAGCCTCTGGGACAACTTCAAGTGCTCCAATATTTGCATCATAGGGGTGCCAGAAAGAAAAGAGAAAGAGCAAGAAATTGAAAATCTATTTGAAAAAATAATGAAAAAAAAAGGCCCCTAATTTGGTGAAGGAAATAGACATGTAAGTCCAGGAAACACAGAGAGCCCCAATTATGACAGATGCAAAGAGGCCCACTCCAAAACACATCATAATTAAAACGCCAAAGGTCTAAAAATAAAGAGAGAATCTTAATAGAAGCAAGAGAAAAGCACTTGGCTACTTACAGAGGAATTCCCATAAAACTATCAGCAAATTTCTCAAAAGAAAACTTTGCAGGCTAGAAGGGATTGGCAAGAAATATTCAAAGTCATGAAAGGCAGGGACCTACACCCAAGGCTGCTCTACTCAGCAAATATATCATTTAGAATCAAAGGGCAGATAAAGAGCTTCCCAGACAAGAAAAAAACCAGAGTTCATCATCACCAAACCATTATTACACGAAATGTTAAAGGAACTTATTTAAGGAAAAGAAGATCAAAACTATGAATGATAAAATGGCAAAAAGTACACATTTCTATCAACAACTGAATCTAAAAAACACGCTGAGCAGACGAGAACAGAGACAGAATCACGGATCCAGAGAGCATTTTGATGGTTTCCGGCTGGGAGAGGGGGGGGGGCAGAGTGGGTGAAGAGGTGAGGGGATTAAGAAGTACAAACAAGCAGTTACAGAGTAGCCACGGGGCTGTACAGTACAGCATAGGGAACTGAGGAGCCAAAGAGCTTATACGCATGACCCGTGGACGTGAACAGTGGTGTGGGGATGGCCTGAGGGGGTGGGGGGTGCTGGGTGTAGGGGTGCAAATGGGGAAAAATCAGAACAGCTGTAATAGCATAACCAATAAAATATAGCTTAAAAATAAACAAACTGTGATGTAAAAAAATCCAGTGACCTAGTGCTACACGGGCGCAAGGAAGAGCCGGCAAAGCCGGGATAAGCCTGAGTGTTGACGTGGGGCGGGTTCAATTAGATCACATCTGAAAGTAAAGTGAGCTGGCAGGGGGCCGGTCCCGGAATTAGAGCAGACGGCAGCGGAAGTCAGGGAGCGGCCGAGTGGATGCGTGGGCGGGAGTCAGGCCGAGAGAGCGGGAAGATGCTAAATCACCCGGGGGAACCTCACGCGTGCCGTGTGCGGCAGGTTACAGCACTCCTCTCCCTTAGGAGTGGACAAGAGACAGGAGTGGACGAGAGACTTGCTCTGGACAATGAAACGTGTGCAGAGGTGGTACCTGCCACTGAGAAGCAGCACCTTCCTGGCCAACACTCAGCCACCATTCACTCTCCCTCTGGATGACCCTGGAGTCACGCTGCTCCATCGGCCTGGTCCCGGCATGGAGAAGACACGGGGCAGGGCCAAGCAGACCCTCCACACTACTCATGCAGTGTGAGGGACAACACATCTTTGTTGTCCTCAACGACCATGCATCTAGGGTCTTTTGTTTCTGCAGCTGAGCCTGTGCTGACGGACACAGTGTGTGTATTTGTTCATGCCCACAGCACTGTCACACTATTTAATACCTACTATAGCATTAAAATCCACTAGTCAGAAGACATGCCAGCGGAAGGCTCCTGCTTCTGCCTCAAGGTATCTTCAGTTGTTAATCTTGGGGAGGGGGGTCCCAGGGAAGGGGCAAGGTAGCCAGGCCTGGGAGGAGAGGGACCCAAGGGGCTCAGAGCAACAGCCATTTCCCGTTGGTACAGAGGCATTGCAGTCCCACTGTGCCCGCGTTTCCCCGCTGACAGCATCTTGTTACCGTTTGATTTCTCAGCTTAGGATTCTCACTTTAGAAATGTGTCAGCCACAGGTTTGTTTTCTGGGCCTGACAGCATTCAATTGCTGAGACTAGGGTGTTCTAGTACTACTAGCTTCATTGTAATATTATTATTATTGTGGACTTAGCATGGCTCCATGGTGCATTGCGGTAACACACTCCCGGGCACAGGGAAAGGGTGGAAAACTGGAACGCCCACAGGGCCGGATCCAGATGGCAAAGGACTGCAGGTCATAGACTGCACCAGGAGACTGCAACAGCCACCGGGTGGCCGTTGATTTATTTCTCGAGATGACATGGCTAGGATTATCAGGCCCACACTTGCTACATAAAGGCATTGTCAACACCAACATCCCTATTTGTAAAGAGTCCGTGGTTAGGAGACTGGACTCGAAGGGAGAAACCACACTCTACCTTTCAATCTACGGCTAACTCCCAAATTGAAAAAACAAACCCAAGATTCACTCCACTGACTTACTGCACAGCAACTAAACATTATTCTGAAATACGGCTGAATCCCAGCGATTTATGAGCAGCCAGGAGTCTGGTGGACACCCGTGCTTGGGCGATCGGGGCTGCTGGGGATGGCAGCTAGTGGACCCAGGGTCCCCGCGACCTGAAATGCCGCACCCCAGCATGCACATTCATCAGGCAGAACACGATGCCCTGTTGCTGCATCTTCCCAAGCACTGACATCACTGAGCCTAGAGAATTCACTCTCCTGCTTACAGAAAAGTAGTTTAAAAAATTCTCCTCCATAGAGACCGTGTCCTAGTCAACTTTGTAGCCTCGGTCCCAGCGCCGAGGCTGACACAAAGTGAATGCTCGGTGTATGTGTGTGTGGAAAAAAAGTGAAGAAATGGTTCAGAAGATAAAGAGACCAGTTTACCCACTTCTGGGGCAGACACAGTATGCCGAACACCATAAGCATTTCACGGATGTTCTTTGATAGCTAAAAATGGAGTGGTACCCAGTGCATATAAACTAAGTCGTGTAAATCTTTTAAAATTCACACTAACGTGTTTCCTGTTGATTTATGCACATGCGAGTGACTTTCAGTCACACTTTCACCAGGCCTCTGCATTACCAGCGCCCTATCCCAGAGTCACCCGGGACCTTCGCTTGGGTTCAGGAGTTCTCAAAAGGCTGTGGAGCAATTTTTAAAACACGTCCCAAACCTCACGGTCTCTCGTTGCAGATGCTCACCTGCTCACTCTTGCTTCGCACGTCATTTTGAGCCACTCAGCTCCTACAGGTTCGCAGCAGAGGAGAAAATCAGAAGGGACTGGGAAGGTCCCTGCTTGGCTCAGGAGGGTGGTGTCCCCCAGGGCCCCAGGAGCAGGCAGGTGGGGTCAGGTGACGGAGAAGACCACTTCAAATGGATCTCGGGGGAAGCTGGGAGTGTCAGGAAGACAAAACGAAGACGTGAGAAATAGAATCACGGGTACACTGAGGCATAAGGCTGAAATGTGGGAACAGGAGAGCTGAAACCAGATGATAAGAAGAGAACAAAATTTAACATGTCAAGAAAGTTCAGAATCCGAGAAGGAGGAAGCACATGGTGGAGATCACTTGGTCCCCACCAGCAGGTCCCTCACTCAGGCCAGATGTCCAGGGCACAGCAGCCTGTGTCCTTCACGGTTCTGCCCTCCTCTCTCCGCCCGTTTCCCACAAGGAGGCAGGCGACTCTACCTTCCTCTGGGCCCCCATTCTCTGCAGCTGGGTATGAGGCAGAACTGAACACTTGTGGGGAAAGTGTGCTTTCATTCAGCAGATTTTCACTGGGCACCTACTATGGGCCAGGCACAATTGAAGTGAATAAATTAGTGAATAAATTAGATTCTTTAGAGCAGAAACAAAAAGCGTTGCTGATGGATTGAATGTGGGCTCTGCAGCTTAATTCCACCAGGTCTCAGGGTCTTGTGGCCAGCTCTTCCTGGGGGGATGGGAGGTGGGTTTTAGCAACTGTGCTTTGGAGAGGTAAGAAGTGACAGTTTGACTTCAAGGGCGTGGTAAAACCAGAGAAAAAACAGTCGGTAAAGTCACAGATCTTAGCCTCAGAGTCGGCGCAGGCAGGTACCAGCCCTTCTTGGAGAACATCGCGCTGGAGTGCGGTTCAGTGACTAATTTCCACAAAGACCCCTGTATACAAGTCAAATGTACGTCTAAGTCATTCTGGGTAAGGCAGCCAGGAAGTGTGAAGCGTTTCACAAATTTTCCACCGAAAAATATTTTTTTCAATGGTGCTTAAAACTAAAAAAAAAAAAGGATTTTTAGGGAAAACTTGCCCCCCCAAAGGAAGTTTTCTAGCAGAGCTGACGTTTCTTAACCTTGGACCCCCAGAGGGACTGTAACCAACATCTCGCGCTGCCCATCAAGGTTCGAAGTCACGTTACAATTTGTTAGGAGGTGTTCAAGCCGGTCTGAATATTCAAAAGAATACACACAGCCCAGTACAAGCGGGAGGAAGGGGCCAGGACATCTCTTCCCTCCCGAACTGGCCATGTACACGGCTTGTTTTGTTTCAGTTGCTGCGGTCCAGTCAGCTGCCACTCAGCTCCCGCGCCCACCGCCCGGGGAGGACGAGAAGCGGAGATAAACCCGAGTCTCCTATCTCCCGTGCTCTTCAGTACAAGGAGAAGGGCTGGGCCCCGCGGCGGGCGTGGGCGGGGCCAAAAGGAGGCGGGGTCTAGGGCGGGGCCTAGGGCGGGGCCTTGGTGCGCCGGCGCAGTGCGCTCCGCTTGGGGAGGCGGAGGCGAGGCGCCGGAGGAAAGATGGAAGACTTCCAGGCTGCGGAAGAGGTAACCGCCGGGTCGGCGACGGGAAGGGTAGCGGCCGGGAGCCCAGGCCCAGGTGGGCAGCGGCACCCAAGGACGTGTGTGGGCACCTGGGCCGCGTCTGGACGTGAGTAACGGCCGTCCACTGCGCGGGCCGAGGGCCGAGAGCTTCACGGTGACCCGGCGGGGCCAGCTCGGGGTGTTGTGGACCTGCCCGGGGGGCGGGGCGACGGGGGGGGGCCCCGGCGCGGCGCACGCCCCGTGCGCCCCGCACCCCTCGCCCCGCGCCGCCCCGCGCCGCCCCGCCCCCGTCCGGGGTCCCGCTCGCACCTTCGGGGCGCCGAGAGTGAAGTCACTCGTTTCTTAGTGGTGCAGACCCCACTCCGGAGGGACAGGCACGCGTGAGACGCGCGTATAGTCACAGCTCTCAAGTCCCCCCACTGATCTGACGCTGGGCCCCCTGCAAAATGTGGACGTGCACGGTCGGAGCACCTGCCTTTGTCTTCCGTTCCGCACCTCGTGCTTCGGAGCGGGGCTCGCCACCGCCGGCTGCTTCAGTCTGAGTTTGAGCTGCTCTGTGTGTGTGTGTGCGTGTGCGTGTTTGTGTGTGTGTGTGTTGGGGGGCGCATTTCATTGCCCTAAAGAAGACGGGGGTCGGCGGGGGGCTAAAATGTACAAGTATTTGCCAAGCCGACGACACCATGGTGACGGTGTGCTGCTGAAAGGGCTTTTCTTCGGGCGGAGACGCTCCCAGGGACCGTGTGCAGCTGGTGGAGGCTGCTGCTGCGGAAGAGGAGTGGCCCGTCTTCTTCCGGCTAAACGAGTCTGGTTAAAATTCAAATACACCGAGTCTCATGTATGATGCAGCTTGTCAGAAACACAAACTGTAGGTAAATTTGGTAGGTCTGATTTTTTCGAAATTTAGTTTAAGCAGGCATGTTTTGGTGGTGGGGGGGATTGTTAAGTCTTAAGGGCTGATCCTGGGGCTTCTGTTGGGATCTAATTTCTGAGCCAGCAGGGTGGCCGCCGGTGGTCGGTGCCGGGGTCGTTGGGAGAGGTGGCGCGGGAGCAGCCGGCAGAGCGCAGCCTTTGCCTGTGAACTGGCGGGGTGTCGGGCACGGCCGGCACTGTGGGGACCGGCAGGGCACACTCTGCGCTCCGACCCGGGGCCCTGCCCCGGCGGTGGCTGTGGCTCCTCGGTTCCGGATCACAGTGGACTGACTGTCCGTGAAACGGAGGGGCTGAACAGAGTGGCCTGTGCGTCACTCGGGAGACAGCCCCGCAAGGACGAGGCCGGCTCTGTCCTTTCTGGCAGGTGTGTGCGGTCTTTACTGACCGCGCCGCCCTCCTGCCGGTCCCTGCACGGACGCCCTTTCTGCGAGCGTAGCCTCTGGCTCCCTCACTCCTGTCCACGGCGTTCGCCTTCCCTGCCGAAGCCGAAAGTGCCGGCGGGGTCTGCACGCCTGCTCTGCCTTCCCCTGAGCGGTCCCTGGAAGGCCCTTAGGCGCTTTCATGCTTTGACCACAGGGGAAGTTACACGGGGACTTTACCGGGTGGTTTAGGGCCACCGAAGTCCCTTGGAAGGACCTGCCGAACTTGGAGACGTAACTTGATCTCTAAGACACTGCGAATCTTCACCAGCTGGCTGAGCTGGCTTTGTGTCCGAGTTTGACTTCTGTGTACAGCACCTGAGGGGGCTGCAGGCGGTCAGCTCCTGACCCTGCTGGAGAGAAAGGGGCACTGCGAGGGCAGGGCCGCGGTGCTCAGCGCCGCCAACAGGGTGGAAACTCAGGACCGGAGAGCAGCAGGGCTTCCCACCTTCGCTCCCCCAGGAGGGCACGCCGACCACCGGCCTGGGGCCGCTCTCAGGGGGCGTGGCCAGACTGAGTACCGTTCTGGGTTCCGGGGCTCAGACGGAACCGGTGCCCACTCACAGGCACCACACGTGGAAGGAAAGGACGGACCATTTATAAGCTCCTGGCACTAGATTACCACCGGCAGCCCACCTCCCGCATCCGACCCTCTGCCCCTGGCCGGGCGAGCAGCTGAGTGTGTGGGCCCACAGTAGGACAGCATGGAGAAAGGAGAAGAACCCAAACATCAGTCTTAAGTTTACATTAGGGAAAGGGTCAGTTAATTTATACAAAAGTCAAGTAACTTATGAAACTTTGGTATTTGTCAGTGATCCTAGTGGCCAGTTTAAACGGATGGAGAGATGAAATTCTAGTTTAAAGTCAGCTTTTTGGATCACGGCGTGATTACAGCAAAAACACCTTTAAATCGTACGTACGAGAATTGCAGCCTCCTGATGCCACGCCCAGCTCTGTGACCCTCAGAGAGCCACACAGTGTTTCTGTTTGTGATGTTTCCTTCGGTCGAAGGAACGGTCTGGTTACACTCTTTCTAAGGTCTTCATTTCCAAAGTGTGTTCATTACCCAAATTTGCATTAATCAGTGCTCCGGTGGGTACGAATCTCACATCAAACTTCGCTTGTTTTCTTCCTTACAGACTACTTTTGTTGTGGACGAAGTGAGCAACATTGTGAAAGAGGTAAGAGGAGAAATGGCTGCTTTTAAAATATTTGATTAATGGTTTATACGAGTGAAAATAATGTGTTTTAAATACTGTCTTGGAATTGTTTCAACTGAGCCTGTGTTTTGGCATTTCAAATAACAGTTTTCAATGAGTATCTAAATAAGAATTACACCCATATTATGTAAATTATATATTTTAAATCAGACAGGACATTTTATACGCTAGCGTTATTGAGTGTTACAAGGCTTGAGTCTGTAACCTTTTAGGATAAAAGGCCCATGGTATACAGGTAAACGTTCCCAGTGTTGTACAGAGACAGTGTGTTGCACAACTCACTCGCGACCTGGTGGCTCTTTCCTTGCACTCCTGAACTGCCCCTTTCCCATCGCTGACCCTGGGTGTGGTCGGTGTCCCTTAGATAGTGAGGAAGGCAAGACAAAAAGGGGATATTTGTTCTTCACTTATTGCGGAAAAAACACAGGCTGAGCCGGAGTGCAGGGGAGGTCCTCCGGGAGTCTCTAGTGTGGGGCCGGGAAGGCAGGCGAGCGTCAAGTAGCGCCACTGGAACAGACGAACTGGCACGGCCTGTGGGTGCCCCACCCAGTGAGTGCCCCGCCCAGTGAGGTCAGGGCTGGACCCGGGAGTGGAAAGGAACAGCATGGGCTCAGCCAGGAGGGGCAGGCCTTCTGGGGAGCGGCCAGCCCGTGCAGCGGCCCTGTGGCAGCGTGTGCCGTGTGTCTGAGGGACTGGGGGGGGGGGGGCCTGAGTGCCGGGTGGCCTGAGGCAGGCTGGAAGGGGTTTCCCCTTGCCGTGTAAGGTGAGCAGACAGTGAAGCCAGCTGGCTACAAGGCCTTCAGATGATCCAAGCCGAACGGTGCCGTCTGAGGTCACAGGTCTGCTTTGGGATCGATCCTCATGCAGATCCCAGTGCTGGCTTCTGCCAGAGTGATAAAGCACCACATACGATTTTCAGCATCGGACATGACTGCTTTAGTTGCCTTCCTCCGTTTTCCCCAGAGTGTTTCTTACAGAAGGGGTGGGGGAGCAGGAACTGGGTGGGTTGCACTAGACCTGTGGGCAGTGGCACTGGTTACGGCGTATCCTTTGGCCTCACTTGTTTTGTGTTGGTTTTGACTTGGTCACCAGGCAGCAGGACTGCTCAAGGGGACTGCCCCAGTCTCCCTGGAAACAACAGTTAATGTCACAGCGTTACCTTCCCGTGACCGCGGGCCTAGGTTAACTGTGAACTCGAGCTAGTGCAAGTGTTGGCTGGCGGTGAGTTTGGGTGGGTCCAAAGTTGCAGGCAGGTTTGTCTCCTTCCCTGAAAAGCAGCGGCGAATCCCTAAGTGTGTGTGGAGGGTCCCCAGAGTCAGAGCTTTAGCTCGAGGAACGGTCCGTGGACAGCACCCTGACCTAGTAGTAACCTGTCCCCTTTCACCAGGGGCTCCCGTGCCCCCAGCCCCGCCCACTGTATGCTCTGAGCTGGGGAGGGCGGGGGGGGGGGGGCCGGCGGCGAACCGAAGGAGCTGACGAGTGGGCGGTGGGGGTGAGAGGGAGCCGGGTGCCGGCCGACCTGTGTTCACGTGACTACGTGGAGTCCCAGGGTAAAGGGAACTTCCCTAGGTAGAAATCCAGGTGCGGCAGTAGGTAGCTTTGTGTTCCTCAGAGCAAGATCACTGGGCTTATGCCCCAGGCAGGAGCCCTTGTCACCAAGGGGCACGACTCAGGTCCTGGCACTGTTTTTCTCTGCAGGCCTCAGGGCAGAGCTTGGTGATAGCTTATTTTAGGTCATAACTTGTCATAAAAACCCCGCATTCTGGTTTCCAGCCCAGAAGTTAGAACAAGGGTAGAGGAGAAAGCTATCAGAAGCAGGCACGCTGGCATCAGCACAGAAGGCTCAGAAAATGGTCAGATGGGAATGCCCTGACCCTGAGCTTGAGCAGGAGGAGGAGTGGGCGCTGGGTGTTTCCCTGAGTGACCTTTGACGTGTGTGCGCAGCACAAACCCTCCTCCGAGGCCAGCACTGCGAGAGGCCAGCACTGCGAGAGGCCAGCACTGCGAGAGGCTGGGAAATCTGCACGGAAGAACAAATGCATCAGAGACTTACATTTTGGAATATATAGGCCCCGTCTTTAGTTATGTGAAAAAAATACACTTACGTGGTAACATATTCCCAGAAAATGCTGGACAGAGGAAGAATTTATAAACGTGATTATTTTTTGTATGTTGGAGAGGTTTGTACGTTGTTAATTGTACAGACAACTGATACAGATTCCCCTGTCTTGAAGACACTTTTAAGAAAGGAATAGACAACAGAAAATATTTTCCAGTGTCATAGGAAAAGTGTTGCTATTCTGTAGCTACCAATAGCAACAATAAACACTAAATTCAGTCAAAATGTTTCAAATTGTTGGCAGACCCTACCTAATCATGAATTCTTAAAAACAAGTATAAAACTATTTAAATATGACACTGTTAAAGAAAAGGTATACGGCGGTACCTTGGTACTAGTGGGTAGGTGTTAATTCCTTCCGGAGCTCAGGAGGAATGCTAAGACTGAGCAGCACCCAGTGCTGAGACGTCTTCTCTCGAGGGCACTGCGCTGTGACTTATACAAGTTCTAGCAAGTGGGACGAGCCCTGAGAAGTGCCGAGTGCCGAAAAATGTTTTTTTTTTCCCTCATTAAAATGCAACAAGTGCAGGGTTTGATGAGTTCTGAAGCTGAGTACCGAGCGAGGTACGGCTGTGTTTGCGGAGGAGTCCCTATGGAGACAGATAAGCTTACAGTTTCTGCAGACTGTATTTCAGCGGGTCTTAGGGTGATGGGCCGCAGGAGCGGCCGCAGGGCGTCGGGGCACGTCCTGCCGAGAAAAGTGACTGCTCTGTCCTTCGTCCTGCAGGCTATCGAGAGCGCCATCGGCGGCAACGCCTATCAGCACAGCAAAGTGAACCAGTGGACCACCAACGTGGTGGAGCAGACTTTAAGCCATCTCACCAAGCTGGGGAAACCATTCAAGTACATTGGTAATAGGTTTTGCTTCCCGTATCTGTTTGTGCCGGTGTTTGAAATACCGACCGGAGGCGGGTCTGGTGTCAGGAGAGAGAGACCGTGTCGCCGTGGCGCCCAGCCTCCAAGTTCCCTGTAGAAGTGTCGCTGGTGTTGTGTGCACTGTTTTACCTTAGAGCGCACCTGCCGTAAACCGGCCGGTCGGGCTGCTGGGGCCGCCGTGGGGGGGGACACACCACGGGGTGTCGTGGGGTTTCAGCTCAGACGCGCTCGGAACGGGCGTGCAGGGAAGGGCCGGGACGTGCGGGGTCCGTCGGTGTCTGCAGGGCCAGGCGGCCTCCCCTCGCAGCTGCACCGTGAGCGTGCGCCGTGTGACCGACACACGCCGGAAGCGGGCAAGATGAAACTCGTGTTGCCAAGCAGATTTTTCTAACACACGTTGTTCTCGTTGCAGTGACCTGTGTGATTATGCAGAAGAACGGAGCGGGACTGCACACGGCAAGCTCTTGCTTCTGGGACAACTCGACCGACGGTACGTCCCGCCCTGGGCCTCCGAGGGTGTCGCGGTGCCTCCGGGGCCCCGCCGAGACCTAGCTTGTCCAGAGCGGGGCTTCATGAGCTGTGCGCTTGGTGTTTCGTGTCTGGGAGCGTGTGGTCATGCAGTTTTTTATCGGAGTCGCCTTTTAAAACGTCTTGTAGAAAAGAGACTTGCCGACCTTCCCTGTTTGTGGGCCACAGAGAGGCGCCTCCCGGGGTGTTCGGGCCCTGCTGGGAGAAACCGGTGTCGGGCCATCTCGCTGACCGTGGTGGCGCCCTCTGCCCGCAGGGAGCTGCACCGTGCGGTGGGAGAACAAGACCATGTACTGCATCGTCAGCGCCTTCGGGCTGTCCATCTGACCGCGTCCGCCCGGCCCCTCCTCCTCCTCCTCCTCCTCCTGTCCCGGCGTTTCTCGTCCGTCCTCGCCGCCCGCCGCCGGGAACCCAGCGCACACACCCCCGTCCTGTCCTCTCCGTGTCTTCTGTGGCGCACTCACAGGGTAGAGAAGAGACCGGCTGACGGCGCCGGTCCACGATCAGCACGCCCTCGGCCAGAGGCCCGCTCTCCCCGGGCAGGCGGGGCCGACGCCCCTCGTGTGGTCCCCGGACCGCCCTGCCCACAGGTGCTACAACTCCAGTCCCCTCGCGCGCAGCTTCCTCTGCTCTCGGGAGTGATCCAGACACACTAGTTTTCCATACTTTGTACTTTTGCTAGAATAAATTAATCCAATTTGAAGTTTGAATTTCTCTTCATAGTCTAGCATCACAGATGAGTTCTTCGTATTTAGTCAGTGGCTTGAGCATCTGTAACACCGTAAAACATGAAAACAAAAGCTGCGACTCGGCTCCGGTCCTGGGCAGCGCAAGGGTTTGCGAGCATCGTCCGCGGGACCAGGACCCGGCGGCCTCGCTGTGTCCCGGTCCGCGTTCCGGCTCCTCTTGGGCCTCACGCCCTTCATCCTGAGGCTCCCGCTTCCACAGCCTCGGGTGGGAAGCGGGCCAGCCGACCCCAGTGTGACTCGCACCCTGGGGCCAGTCTGCAGCTCGTGCCCCGGCTCTCGCAGGCCTCCCGCGCACAGTGCGGCCGCACCTCAGGGCCGTGCGCGCAGGTGCCTTCATGGTCGTCCCTTTCGTGCCTGCGGCAGTTGACACCATCACTCACAGGAAACGCGTTCGAAGGTCACCTGATCAACTTAAAGTCACACCCAAGGAAGTGAGGGGGGTGGGCCCCACATCCGGGTCTTGGGACCTCCCCTTTGTGCTCATCTGCGGGCCACGTTACCATGGGAACAAAGACACTTCCGTGTCCACGTGCAAAGAGCAACTGCTACACACAAAAAGGTTCCACATTAAAAGTCGACCAACATTTACCAGCAAGGTGGTCTCGGAATGAAGCCACTCCCAGAGTCTGCCATAAATAAACCTTTATTCACTGGTAACGAGTTACAGTGCCCACTCTGTGGCTGGGGTTGCTGTGCTCCCCAGCACAGCTCTGAGATCTAACACACAGCTCTGTCCTTTTGGGCTTAAACTTCATTTTATTTTACAAATATTTAGTCTTTTTGTAAGAAGGCAGTTTTCAGTAGCAGAAAATCCTGTGGTTCATAGTACGATACGCTAGTTACCAGTGTATCTGAGACACAGGAGGTCAGGGTGACCAGGGTAACGAGACGGGACAGACCAGAGCAGCTTCTCTTCAGCCCGGGGAGGAGACGGCTTTCGGAGTCTGCCCCTAAGGCAGCTGGCTCCTGCAACCCTCCTGGAACTCAGGTCCAGCCTTCACCAGCTGCCCCCCTTCAGTCGTCACGTCTGTGAACGTCGGTGTTTCCCGGGAGCAGGACTCCAGGGGGTCACCACGTTACCACCAGTTTAATGCGGCTGCACCTTCAGTTCGTGAAATGCTGGAGGCTGGTGACGTCTCCCAGTCCACCCCTGGGGCGAGCTGGGTGTACGTGACGTGTCTAAACTTACTGCGATCTGTAACTATGTACAGGAACAACCTCACAAGTCTTGAATATATTTTTACATCCCCTTTTCTAGACTTTCAGATGGGGCTCCAGGGAGAGAGAACCGCATCAGCTCCACTGCTGTAACGATTTAATAATAAATCAAGAACCACCATTATCCACGTGGATAATGGAGCCCTCCCTGGGGAAACCGGAGTACCTGTGGCCCTCTCCCAGGCCCCCCTGGACTGGGCCATTCTAGGACGTCACCCCGAAGATGACGCTAGTCAAGCTGGTGCCGTGGAAGAACTCAAGTCAGCCCTTGGAATGGAGAATTTGTTTGCAAAACCGTGATGCTGTCCAAGAAAAAAAAATTTTTTGCTACTGTCAAAGTTGCTGGCAGATTGTAGTGTTTTGACCGGACACCTAGGGCACGTAAAGTCTCATACTTTATGTTGTATGCTAAACATACTTCAGTCAGATTCCACGTGGACTGTGCAGTACACTGATATGTACGACACACCAGGAAGAGAAACTGAAAATGCATAATTTAAGAATTTTCCCCTTAAGCATTTTTTTGTAATTTTTTCCCAACTTAGTTACAAAAAGAAATACGCCCACATTGTTCATTTCCATGACTTGATGCCGTGAGGAACGGGTGTACAAAGAGATCAGTCGTCAGTTTAAAACCACACTACAGGCCAAAGTCGAGTTCTAAAAAGTTCTAAGCCGTGTGACTAGCTGCCTCACGTATTTTACATTTACTGATAAATAACAGCATTCCAAATTATGGACAATTATTTTATAATGATTCAAATGTAAACTATATCACATACTAGAATACATCAATCAGTACAAGTTTCTGTGTAGTTGGTCATGATAGAAGTTGTAAAATTGGGTAACAAAAAGTTTTTCAATATCTGAGTACACAGAATCAAAAAAAAATTACCATTGCGAATGTAGAAAACCATGTAAACTTAAATTACCCTTGCGATAATGCAGTTGTTTTAATTCAAACATTCATATTTACAGGGCTTTAAAAACATGTCAGTGGAATCCACATTGAAGGCGTGTTACCATCCGTGTTTGGAAAGGAAAGCATGGAGTCGAGCGGTCCCGGGAAGTGCTCTGTGAGGCTGCAGCGCCCCCTGGAGTGGGGCCGAGCTATAGCGTGAGAGGCAGCCGCCGGACCGTGAGTGTGCCGGTGGAGGAACCGCAGGTAGCGTCTGCAGGGGACGCCGTCCTCTCTGAGACCAAGAGGGCACCCACCCAGCAGGGCGTCTGCCGTGGTCACATGCTGACAGCCCAGGAGAGACGTGAGCAGCCAATCGGCAAAAGCAAACACGGCGTCTCTGCCAGAGGAGCGGGCAGTCCCCGAGGCCTGCCGGGCTGCCGCAGGCTCGGCAGCCCCACACGACCCTCCCCTCCGTCCCGCAGGGCGGGGCCCCGCCTGCCGGGGCCACCACCAGCGGGACAGGCCCAACGAGCCACCCCTGCCGAAAGGCGTGCTCCCATCCACCATCTCCAATGCTTTCCAGTGAGAAACAACAACGTTCTGGCAGTAAAGGGTCTATAATAGATCAGTCGTTTGTTTTATTTTAAAAAAGCAAGAAAGCTCTGCTGGGCGTCCCTCGCAGCAGAGCCGCAGAAGTGCCCGCTTCCTGGAATGCAGCGGGGGCGCTCTCCCTCCGCCCGGCCATAGGGGCGTCCACGTACCCACGTGCGTGACGCTCACACACACACGTGCAGACACCCACGTGTGTGACGCACACGCGTGCAGACACAGCCCCAGGAAAGCTATGGCAGCAAGCCCTTCCCCACTGGAGCCGCAGCCTGCCTGGGACCTCACCCTTTCCTCGGAACCCCACAGCAGGCGCTCGGCTCGGGTGGGCAAGGGCTGCAACCTGCCTCCCGCCGCTGCCCTCACGAGCCGGTCTGTCTGCATTCCTGGTCAGCAGGAGATGCCTGGTGGCCCAGGGCGCAGGCCACCCTGTGGGGAGGGCTCGCCCTCGGGAGGGAGCTGCACAGACCCGCTTCCCTGGGGTTCAGGGGGGCAAAACCAGAACCAGGGGGCAGGGGGAGGAAGGGATGCCCCAGGGCTGCGGGCCTTGCTGGGAAGAACTTGCCATGAGCTGGGGGTTGGTAAGTCACTTTTTAATAAGCACGTAATTCTCTGGACTAAAAACAGGAGCAACGGCCCCCCTACCCCTGGAAACAAGCTCTCTCTCAGCTGAAACCTTAGAAAAGGAACTTGGCCGTGTATCGGCGCCTCTCTTCCCAGAGAAACGCAGCCGCTCTAACAGTGAATTTGGCCCAGCGCAGGAGTCTGTCCTCGGTTTCGGTTTCCCTTTCAAAATCATGTAAACACGCAAGGACCAGGGCATCTCTGCTCGAGAGACAAGTGTGAAAGCGGGCGGGTCCGGAAGGCCAGGCGGTCCCTGCAGGGCAGGCTCCCCGACGGCCCGCGGCCCGCCGGGAGCTCAGTCGCTGTCGGACCCCTCCTTGTACTGGGCCCGGAGCGCCTGGCCGTTCTGCAGGGGCATCTCTTCGTAGTCGCTCCTGTCGCGAGAGAGACCCTTGACAGGGGTCTGCTTCCCACAGCTTGGGCCCGCCCACGCTGGCCTGCCGTTCTGACCAGAGAGCTCTTCACAGCTTCCCCCTCTCCGCTCCTGCCGCCCGCCAACCCGGAGCGCCCACGCCGCACCCCCACCCGTCGCCCGGGAAGCGCTGGCCTTCCTGGGGCCACCACTCGCTGGGGGTGTTCAGCAAAAGGCAGTCCCACCATTCCCTCTGAAGGTCGTGGAAGTCAACCACAGACCCCCGTGACACTGCCGGCCAGAAGAGACGTCCTAATGCCGCGAACACCGTGTCAGAGTGTGGGGCCTGCTGGTCAGCAAGCACGCAGCGCCGGGCCGAGGGCTCGGCCTCCCAGGACAGGGACTTACCCGTAGATGACGTCGTCATCGGAGTCATTGAGCATGGAGAAGGCGGGGTTGTCCTTCAGCTGGGACTCTGGAAGCCAACAAGAGCGGTTCTGGTGTTACTGGAGGGAAGGCTGTCCTGGAAGGACGGGGTCGGAAAGAGCTGGACCCAAATCCCAGCATCCACGCTGCACCAACTGTGTGACCGGAGCAAACCATTCCGGGCCCCGAGCGTGTTCTCTCGCCTGCCCGCCAGGCCAGCGCCACGCCTGGCACTTGGGGAGCCCACGAGCAGAGTGGAAATACCCTGTCCTTTCCCTGAGTGCACTCGGGCAGGGGGACAGCGGCCAGGGGGGTGGGGGCCAGAGGGGGCCTGGGTCCCCCTGCCCCGCCCCTCCCTTCCTCCTGCCTGCAGCCAGCCACTGCCTGCCAGTTCCTCCCTCCCTGGACGGGAGTGTCGGGAACTTCCCACGAGGGTGCTCTGGGAACTCACAGGACGTGGGGGTGGTCCTGACACCCAAGAGACCCCTGCCAGGGTTCCAGAAAGAACGCGTCCTGTTCACGCCCCGTGCGACTGGGCTGTTTTGCTCTGTTTGGTTGTGCTTTCTGGGGAGCAGGGCTGCAGGCTCGGACTCTCCTGCGCGGTCACGGCACCCGTGTTCAACAGGCCGTGTCCCGTGAGGCTGATGGACACGCCCGAGCCGGGCCCCGCTTACCCAGTGTGTCCCTCTCGCGCTGCAGTGACACAGCCCGGGCTGCGCGGTGACCGCGACTCAGAGCTCACCCTTAGGGCAACCCTGGGCCTCTCTGCCGGACAGGAGGAAGGCAGCGCGAGTCAGGCCGGGCACCGGCACCGCCGGGAACCCCGGGAGGCGCGCCCTGAACTCCCCAGCCGCCGGGCCCTGGGCGGCTTACCGTACAGGGCGGTCTTGGACGGCGAGTACACAAAGGCCAGCGTGTAGAGGTAAAAGTTCAGCAGGCCATAGAAAGACAGGAACTCAGCTGGTGGTGCTGTCAAGGGAGCAAGCGGGCACAGAGCGCTCTGAGTCCGGGCGTCGGGCGTCGGTCGGCGTCAGCTTCCAGTCTGCCTGCCCTGCCCCCGCCTGTCGCCCCCCTCGACCACTGACCCCGAGTACCTCGGGGCCGTGACCCAGACCTGCGGGCGCCAGAGGGCAAGCCCACAGCCAGGGGTTACGATAAACTTCTAAGGTTACCTGCAGGTAACCGATTAGCCGTGCTCTCTGCCACCCGCGGGAGCCTCTGGAGGTGGCAGGACCCCACGTGACCCAGCAAAGGGCGGGGCCACACGCACACGGGTGAACCCAGAACAAAGAGCCGAGTCCTCAACCTCTTCTGGATCACAGACCCTTTGAGAGTCCGATAAAAGGTCAGTGTGAAATTCAGCCATAAAAATCAGAAAAACCATGTGCTAGTTCTAAGGATGCCAGAGGCCCCGAGGACAGGACCCAAGCCAAGGATCAACCCCCGAGCATCCCCTGAACGCCCTCACGGCCAGGGCGACTGGAAGGCCCCCCCTTGACCTCTCGGGAACCCGACGGAGCCCCCTGTGGAGGCCACGCTCGAGGTGCCCACGCAGGGACACATGGAGGCCCTACTATCATTAAGAGCCCCTCCTGGAGACAGGCCTCAGCTGCCCTCGTCACCACACCCCGTGGCACTGCTGCTGGGCACCGCGGGCTGACAGTGCAACCTCGGCCGCAGACACTGGGTCCCTGGGCGTGAACCCCCCACCCAGTAACTGCCCCGGGGGCCGGCCTCCCCCTGTAAGCCCGAGCTGCTGCCTACGGAGGACCAGTGGGTCCCGAGGCTGTGGGGGCCCCAGGGGGCAGGTGTCTCTGCAGACGGGGGGGGGGGTCCCCCAGGGGCTCCAAGGTGCAGGCCACAAGGGGGGGACCTGCCTCTTCTAGATGCCAAGAGACCCGACACACTCCCCACTCCGTCCAGAAGGCATCCCTGACGCCCGCGGCCCTCCCATGAAAAGGATATAATTCTGGTAGTGAGTTGACAACTCAGCTACAAAATTGTCCTGCAGTGCTTGAGCTCCGAACCTTAAATAAAAGATGACGATGCTGGAAGAAAGGAGGGAAACGTGTAAGACGCACGAAGCAGCAGCAGCAGCAGCAGCACTGGTGTGGGGCACGTTTTTGTGCTCGCCCTGCTGGCGGTCCCAGTCTCGCTCTGCAGGGAAGGGCGCCTGCGCCCGCGCACACCCACCTCTGCTGCTGGGCGCGCGGCCCGGGACCCAGGGGCCCGCGGACGGGACGCGGTCAGCCAGCCCTGCCGTCAGCCAGGCCACGGTCTCTCGAATCGTGGCCTTGACGCCTGCCCTCGGCACATGCCCCTCCTCCTCTCGCTCCCTTAGATCAAGCTTCCAGAGCGTCTCCTAGGTTACCAGCTCCCCCGAGGAGTCTGCTCCTCCACAGCCGCTGGGCCCCACTCGGCACAGTGGCTCCCATGCCCCTGTGCAGGCACCCGGTGACGGAGGTGACGATGAGGTGGGCTCCACAGCCAGGCCCGGCTGTGCACCCCGGGCCCCCGCGTTCAGGTCCCCTCCCCCGAGGCCCCCACTCCACCTGCAGCTGGACGCCCGTGAACACGCACGTAAAGGAGACCCCTTCTCCTGTGGCTGAGACCCTCCATGGGGGTACCCCCCACCCCCCGAGAAGAGCACCCTGAGCTCTCCAGTGGCCCCTCCCTCGTGTCCTCACCCTCCAGGACACGGCCGGTCCTCCCCCTCACCACGCCCCTGCCGTGCCCGCCGCCCAGGCCGCCAGCGCCTCGTATCTGCAGGGCCAGATGCCACCTCAGAGAGACGCCCCCACCGTCCCCCACCCACGCCATCCAGGGCAGCCCCGTCCCTCCTGCCCGTCCCCTCTGCCGCGCGTTCATCACGGCCCTCGGGCCGCTCCTTTACGTGTTCCTCTCCCTCTTCCTGCCTCTTGGGAGGAAGGTCAAGGCCGTGACAGGAAGGAGCCTGTCTGCCTGTTGACCAGCGCAGGCACCCCGTGGACACGGGTGGGACACGCGAGTAAGTCCCTTGAATCGCACGGGACAAAAACCAAAAAGCCCAACAGCTTCCAAGACGGATGGTGGAGAGGAGCCAGCGGCCCCCGCCGTGGACTGGGGGGGCTCGGGGGTGCGGGGCGGGAGGGCCGGGAGCAGCGCATGTATGACAGGGCGTGTGAGAAGAGCAAACACACAGTTTTGTTTGAGAAGTGAGCTTTTCTTACCTGATGATGAGCACTACGAAAGTCAGCGCGGTCAAGAACTTCAACCTGAGATCTGAAAAAGAGAAGCACCATCACCCCCCGGGCAGTGCGCCCCACGTCAGACGGAGATGAAGCACACCCCCCCGGACAAGACCCCCTCTTCTCTCCGGGTCTGGCACCCGTCTGCACTGCAGCCCGGGGGGATGCCGCCCCCCCCACCCCGGGTCCAGGTCCAGAAGGCGGGGTCCCCGGCGAGGCCACGGCCACTGTGACCTGTTGGGACCGACTGGGGGAAGGGATCCCACGAGACCAGACGGCTTCCTGACTCAAGGGCTAAGCAAACCGCCCCGGCTGGCGCCTCTGCACGTGGGATGCCGGGAGGCTCCAGGCTGCTCCGGCGGTTCCAGCCCACGGGCCGCCCTCCCGCTGGCCCCGGGCTCTGTGCACAGTTATCCGCTCAGCCCCCTCGTGGCTCCCCGGGGACCAAGGCGCAGGGCCCCCAGCCTGTGCAAAAGGGACAAGTCCCTGGGTCCTCCCGCTCCAGGTCAGCCGCTTGCCCGGGGGCCTCCGTCCACCCTGCCGCCCCGCGGCAGTTCGCCCCGGGTCAGTCCGCCCCGGGCAGCCGGGCAGCTGGGCAGCGGCGCTTACCTACGTAAGGCATGTGGCGCAGCTCGGAGCAGGCCCGCACGACCAGGAAGAACAGGTATAAAACGTACACGGACCCCACCACCTCGAAGAAGACCTTCATCCCCTGGAGGGAGACGACAGGGGCGCAGGATGAAGACGGGGGCGCGGTGCGGCCTGCCCTCCAACACCAGGCCCCGGGGAGGGAAAAGAAGCGTTTTTAAAGGGACCCAGAGCCCGAAAGTCGCTCTGCGAGACGGAACAGGAAGGTGCTCCCACAACTCTGACTGCGTGTCCAGGCTCAGCCTGCCGCCCTCTCCGTGAGCACAGGTGGCCTCCCCAACGAGGACCCCTGGCCCTTGCTCTCGGTTGAGGAAGAACCCACCAAATCCTTCCCTTGCACACGGAGAGCCCCCAGCGCACACGAGGCCGGGCACTCCGTCGCCGGGGGAGGCCGGCTCCCTGCCCTGCCTACAGGGGAAGGTAGTGGCACGTGTGAAGACTCCAGGCCAGATCCTGAGGAGTCCTCTGGCAAGTCTCAACTTTGTGGGCCTCGGTTTCCCTATCTGTAAAACGGGGACACTGAAGGAAGTCGTCTGGAAGACATTAAGTCTAATTCCCCACAGTCTGCAGTTCTGCTGCAGGGAAAACAAGCGCACTTTGCTCTGAGGTTAGCAGCAGCGGCGGGGAAGGCGGGCGCAGGAGGACCGGGCTGTGCAGGTGGGTGGCGCCCCACCTGTCTGTCTCCCAGCATCCGTCCGTGTCACAGGGCTGCCGGCCAGGAAGCCCGGCAGCAGCTTCTGCATCCTAGAACCTGTGACTTCCGTCCGTTCCTTCCGGGGGCTGCAACAATTCATGAGCCCCCTGTGGCTGGCTTTCCCACCGCCTGACTGAGGTGGGGTACACAGGCGGCTGCCACTGTGGGGGCGGGCGCCTTCCTGAGTCCCCAGTGCAGGCACAAGCGCCTCATGCTCCTGGTGGAAGTCAGTCCTCACAGCAGCTCTGCAGGGAGTGCTCCAGATCACCCCATTGCACAGACGGAGAGAGAGGGCCGGGCGGTGGGGGGCCGTGCACCAGGACGGCCTCTCCCTCAGGGGTCGGTCTGGGAGCCCTGGCGGCCTGGGCGCTGGCTTGGCTCGCAGCTCGCAGCGTGGGACCCAGGGCAAGAACCTTCGCCACCCCTCGGCTTCCTCACGGGAAAGACGAGGGGACTGTGCCACACCAGAGCTCCGGTAGCAGCAGGTGAGCCCGAGTCTGTGCCGTCCTGTCTAAATCTGGGGGTTACGCGCAACCGCCAGCCTCACGGGGGTTCTGTCCCCAGGGTCTGCGGGACCTGCCCTGAGCAGGTGGCACAGCAGCCCCTCCTGTCTCCCAGGGCCCAGGATGCCTCTCCCCCTCCTCCCCAGCTCGGTCGGGGTGCAGCCCCTACCCCCACAAACCCCATTCCAGCATTCTAAGGTGCATTAAAAGACAAAGAAAAAGCACAAAACACAAAGGTGCCGCCTGCCCTTGTCACTTGGGGCACTCTCTCTAAGATGCCCGGGCTGGGTGGTGCACCCCCTCGGGGATCCTGGTCTCTGTCGTCTCTGCCTGTTCTTTGAGGGCAAGGTCAGGGCACGAGGTTCCTCATGTTCAGCAACCTCCCGAACTCCTCGGACTGATAAACAAGCGACTGCAAAGGCCCCGGGCGCCCCCTTCTGGATCTCGGTTAGGAGTCAGGCGCTTACACCGTTCCCTGAGACACACACAGTCTCAGCACAGGCTCAGCACCTGCTCCACACGCCTGGCCCACCAGCCCGCCCCCTTCCCCCGCGGCCACCCCCGCAGAGAGCCGCAGGCCTCATCCCTCCACGGGGGGCTCTGCGAACGTGGGCACCGAGGAGGGCTGACTGGGCTTCAGGGCACCCCCGCCCCCGCGCAGCAAGTGCAGGGAGAGCCACACTCCGGGCTGGCTGGCATTTGCGGGCCTCGGTGTGAAACGAAAACGCTTGCACACGCTGTTCAAAGGGACACGAATTTCCGGACGGTGACAGCACAGACCCCCTGGAGCGCCGGGCGGCCGTGGCTGCAGACCCAGCCCGCCACTCGCCTGCCGGAGACCTCCCGCCTCCTCAGAGAGTTAAACGGACGCACGTCTGGCCCTGGTGCCTCGACCGGGAACCGCGGCCCAGGAGGGACCACGCGGTGTTTGAAGGTTTGCTTCTCGCACCGCCCGAACACATTCCTCTGCGCTCTCCACGTGAACTTCCCACGGTCCTCCCCAGCCAGCCGGCCAGCCAGCGGGTTCATGCCAGCAGCACAATTTCAGTCATGAAATTCAGTCGCTTTTAAAAACAGCATAAAAAAGTCCTGGTGCTTCATGAACGACCCTCACCTGAAAATTTCCCGTGTCGACTCGATACTGGTACATCGGGTCGTGCAGTTCATTGACCCTAAACATGTGTTATAAGAAAACACTGATTAATAACTAGCGTGCTTATTTTATGTTTCCACTTAGATTTTTTTTAAAATTATTAAGCTACTTGCTAACCAACAGTAAAGAATTTTTTAAAAAGTAACCCTAGAGCCCTGGCTGGCGTAGCTCAGTGGATTGAGCGTGGGCTGCGGACCAAAGTGTCGCAGGTTCGATTCCCAGTCAGGGTACATGCCTGGGTTGCAGGCCACGGCCCCCAGCAACTGCACATTGATGTTTCTCTCTCTCTCTCTCCCTCTCCCTCCCTGCCCTCTCTGAAAAGAAATAAATAAAATCTTAAAAAAAATAACCCTAAACTTATGGGGACTCCTAAATGTCATACTGACAACACGTATGATATTGTTAATGGAGAGTGTCCACGGTTATCACTCTGGGAGGCTGACGTGCTTCTCATCACGAACCCCCAGCCTGCGGGTCCCGCAGCTTTAAAGGCTGTGCTCCAGGCCCCTCTCGGTGACGGGCCCGGGCACCCGGACAGATGGACAGACGGGGACGAGCACACCAGAGAAGCCATGAAAGTGAACATGAACTTCCCGGACACCGCAGTGCGGTGAGGCTGGGCGGCGGGGACGGCTGGCAGCCGGGGAAAGGAGGGAGAGGAGCAGGGTGGGCTCAGTCCTGTCACTGCTGTGCCCTGAAGTTTGAGGGGCCAGGTGCCGAAATCGTGCCCTAGCATGGAACTCGTTTCTGCAGAAAACCCACTGGAGGCCTCTGTGGTGGCACGATTCCACAGCAGCACAGAAAACTGAAAGGGAAGAGCCCTGGGAACCGGGGTGCGGTGGGAAGTTCACGGTCACGGCCACAGGAGCAGCTGACTCGTCTGGTGGCCAGTGGGGGAGCCGGGGGTGACCGCAGTCAGCGTCACGCCTGCAGGTGACGTCTCTGCCTCTCCGAAGGAGGACTCTACAGTGACCCGGTCTTTTCCGTCTCGGGGTCAGGAGAACTGCGTACATCTCTCTGTGCCATCGGGGCAAAAGTGCACCTTCAGTGCACACCGTCCAGTCTGGAAACCCCGGGTGAGGGACTCCGTTCCGGGTGAGGGACCCCGTTCCGGGTGAGCTCGCTACGAACGGCTGGGCTTCGGGTCTGTCCACGGAGCCGAGTGCGCTCCAGGAAAGGTCCCCCACGTAATAACATTACTCACGTCTGCCATATCCCCAGCGTGACAGAAGCCAGCCACAGCAGTCCAACGATGAAGAACTTCGGCAAGTAGAAAGTCACACACTTCCTTTCTCCCTGAAGAGAGAAAAAGAGTAGGAAGCAGCCGAGTTAGTCATCCTGGCAAACCCCTGACCCTGACAGACCCTTGCAGCAGGTCTGTGTGGCGTGCACTCCCCTCGTGGCCTGGAGGCTGAAGACCGCCCCCCCGGACGCGCCCGCCCCCAGGACGCCCCCGAGGCCGGCAGGGCGGACGCAGGCTCACCTGGACCCGAATCCCATGGTACACGCACAGCCAGAAGAGCAGCAGGGCGCACAGGAACACGGACTGGAAGAGGTCGTCCAGCGTGCCCAGGACCCAGCTGTTCACCAGGAAGGAGAGGGGGAAGAACGGATCTGGAACGCACACAGCGGGGGGCCTGCTGGGGGGCGGCGTGGCTGAGGGCTGCTTCGTTTCCCGAACCCCCAAGAGCCCGTGAACAGGTGGCCCTGGCGACGGTGACCGAGTGCCGTCTGCTGCTGCCACCCGTCCCCCCGCCCCGCAGGCCGGGCACCCCGAGGCCGTGCTCCCGAGCAGGAGGGAACAGACGTGCGCCACCTCCAGGCGAGTCCCGAGGAGGCTGCATCTGCAGCCCTTCCGAGTCCCGGCCACCAGGGCAGCCACTCGTCTGTGAGAGCTCCGGGCGCCTTCTGAATCCCAGTGCGGCACCCCTCACGTGCCGAGGGGCCGCCTCCGGTTCCTCCAGGGGCCCCAGGCGCTCCGGGAGACTGGGGGTACCTCCCGGCTCCCCACTTCAAGGGGCGAGGCTCCTCGGAAAGGGCGCCTACCGTTGTAGAGCAGCAGCAGCGGCAACAGCACGGACACCCACTTGTGCTCGATGCCCCAGTCCCGCATGGAGAACTTGCGCAGGAGGTGCACGAACAGGCACTGCGGAGCAAGGCGGCCCGCTGTCACTGCGCGGGACCCGAGGCCACCCCCCGCTGACCCGGCCACGGACCCCCTCAGTGACACCCGAGACAAGAAGGTACACTGCAGAGGGGCCCCCCGATCAGACGGTCACACGCGGTTCTCAGGGGTGGGCGGGGACCGGGGATGAACGGGGCCACACGGAGACCTGCCCAGGCGGCACCGACCGGACCGGCGGCACCGGGGCCGCTGGAGCACGAGTCCGGGAACAGGCCCACGGCCGCGGCCAGGGGCCGGCTCATTGTCACCAGTCCTGGGAGGAGGCGTGGGGGCCTATGGGAGAAGTTTCTGTAAACTGCTCTAAAACATTATGAGATTTCTGATTCGGGGGCCTGGGGTTATTTTTTTGCTTTGTTTTTCTATAATCTGCCACAAGCCAGTAATTTCCTGGGCAATCGGGACTTCCTGGCGGATGGACCCTCTCCTCCAGGCTCCCTGTTCCACGCAGGCCTTTCCTCCCGTGTGAGAACAGGAGCGGCAGCGTCCCCAGCCCCAGAGATGCTCCCAGAGTCACTCCTGACCGACCAGCCAGGGGTGGTGGTTTCCCGCTGTCCTGCAGCCAGTTCACTGGGGGAGCCCTGGGCACTCGCGGCCCAACGCCACAGTCCCCGGCTCTCTGTGCGCTCCAGTGGCCGTGTCCCACCCCCTGTCCACGAGCAGGTCCCAGCCACTGCCGTCGGCCGCTCTTCCCATGCCCCCCGTGAGCTGCGTCCTGCTACACATGGTTAGCCTGCAAGGCACGGGGCGCTCCACGGGGGGGCAACACTGCGGGGACTGGACACGTCTCCTGAACGTCACGGCCTCCGCGCCAGCGGGGCCCAGGCGGCCGATGCAGGCAGAAGGCCGCCCTTCGGATGGCAACGAGCCACCTCCGTCCTCCTCCAAGCCACCGGTTCCCCGCGTCACGGCCTGGGCCGCCCTGGGGCCGCCCTGCGCTGTGGCTGAGCACCTCCCCCCGGCAGCCCGCACGCCCCAAACTGCCCGTCTGGGCCTCACCCCCGAAAAGCTCGGGGGCTGAAGGTGTGACGTGACTTTCCAAATGCCGAGCCCCAGCTGCGTCTGCACCCAGACAGGGCAGGCCACCGCCGCACAGGTAGGTGGCATTTGTCACTGCGCCCTGAGGAGAGTTCACAAGTCAGTGGCCTGTGACCAGTGGCCGTGACCACTACTCCACGCCACAAGGCCTTGCCAAAGAGACCCCATCACTGTTCACATCCTCGCGATGTGCAGGGTATTCAGTAAGAGCAGGTTGGCTCTGGGGCGGGGCGGGCGTCTCCGAGTTCGGAGAACTCTCCTGCGTGGTCTGCACTTGCGCAGTCACAATCCACAACCCGACCTTGCCCTTGTTCGGACCTGCCCCGTCTGTCAGGTGGGCGGCACTCACCGTGACGATGAAGGTGAGCACCACGAAGACGAACCGGAACCAGATTTCCAACCGGGAAAAGGCGGGGTTGTAGGTCTTCCACTGCAATGGGAAGTGGGGCCACAGTTGGAAAAAGAAAATGTGTCTCAAAGGGACCACAGCCCAGGGAAGACAGTCGTCACTAAGGCTGTCATAGCCGTGTGTGGTGCCAGGCGGGGCCGGGAACCACCGGGGGACCGCTGTGTGAAGTGCCTGGTTGTCTAACCCTGAGCTGTACACCGGAAACCAGTACACAGTAACACTGACTGTCAACCGCAAGTGGAAAATAAGATTAAAGTAAAAAATAAAAAGGAAGCGCATCAGATTATTCATAATAGTTATCTCTAGATACGAGAATGTAGGCCATTTAAAATGTTCTTTCCTTAACACTTTTTTACATGGTCTAAAGTGTTAACACTTAGTACATTTTATTTTTATATTAAAGAACAGACTTTGAAAATATTAATTACCTAGAGCTGAAAATAGTTTTCAGTGGCATTACACTAATGATGGATCTGGCAGGCAGATTATTCTATAATGATAATAAGGGCATTTGCTTCCAAATCTCGTATCGAAAACCAACACCGTCCATCTCTGCATCAGAGAATGCCAGGCCTTCCGTGAAAAGAAACAGAAGAGTTCACATCTCTTTCATAAGAGATGAAAGTTTATATCTCTGGGAGGCGGCAAGACGTTCTAACACGCGATGAGGTGAAACATGGAAACAGGGGTCTGAAACCAGGAGGTGCAGGGGAACTGGCTGTCAGTCCTGCTGCCGTCGGAGCAGTTTCACCGGCGCCAGGCGCACCCCGCACAGAGCCGAGGACTCGGGCGGCGCACGCGGGCGGCAGGCGGCCCTCCCGCCCCGGGTCACGAGCCAGCGCCACCAGCAGAGCGCTGCACTGCACTGGGCCGGTGCGCTCCCTCGTCTGCTGCGGGGAAATGCTCCAGCTCCTTATTAGGACAGAGGCCGCTGTCGGGACCTAATGCTATGGGACTGGGGGGTTTTGTTTTTGCATTTATTTTAAGCACCAAAATGTATACTTGAAGTGAAAAAGAAGTAAAAGGAAGTAAACAGTAAAATCCCAGCAAACACTCAGGCTACAGACATTGACTTTGACATTTAAGAGCTGTCCATCCTTTCTCGGCCTTGGTGCCAAGGTCCCTTGGCGTTCACAAGGCTGCCTTTGTCCTTCCAGGATGAGACTGGGCTCACCCTGTCACCCGTGCACTGACACCTGGAACCAGGTTTGATTTCAGGACCCCGGTTGCTTCTCCCTCATTAAAATCGACAGGTTTCGGTCCAGCCCCTCCATCTGGGGTTTGCTGAGCACCCACTCTGACTGTGTATAAGCAAATACGATGTCAAATCTTGTGCAGACATGCAACAGTTAAATTTTAAAAAAATTAGTAAAACTGCCTCCGGGAGCTAACTTTTTGGCAGAGATGAAATGTGTTAAGAGACCCTCGGAGAGTCCCCCGAACAGGAAAGCCACAGGAGTGCGGGAAAGGGGGGGGGGCACAGGCAGGAGAGTGGCTCAGAGCCCTGTCCCCGCCACCCCCCCGCCCCCCGGGAAACGCCCCGGAACTGGTTCTGGCTCAGAGGCTCCTCAGAGCACGGCCCACTGCCGGTCTCCTCCATCCACAAGGAGGCAGGGGCGTCCGCTGCCCAGAAAGATGAAGCACCCGGGAACACGGGCTGTTGATTCTGTGTCATCCCCCAGCGAAAGGCAGTGGCTCGGGGAGAAAACGGAGGACGTGAGACGTGAACAGCTGGCTGGAGTCAGTCGCTCAGGAATCCACCTGGAGAGCGACCCATCAGAGGCGGAGAAGCCCAGCTTAGCTCGAGGAGGACGCGTGGGACTGGTGTGACGTGTGCGGAGCAGATGCTTGCAAAAGGCCGGAGAAAAGGACAGAAACATGAGCAGAAGCAACCTGCGCAATGTCCAAAGTTCACACCCACTGCATCACGCAGGGCATAGCCAGTGGAACAAACTCTTTAAAAAAAAAAAAACAAGCCCAGAAGATAATCAACATCTCGTCAGGTGCCTGCAGGACCCGGAGGGTGGTCTTGACTGGCGCGAGGCCACGGGGGTGGGCAGGACACCGCAGAGTAAGGGCTGGTAAAACCGGCAGAGAGAACGGTGCCGCGATGCTTCAAAACGACAGACGTTTCAGTAGAAGTCAATGAGCCACACGATCACAGGATACGGACTGGGGACAAGAGGAGAGGAGCCAAGCTTCTCAGATTAAGGGGACGTGGCGACAAGAAGGCCAGACAACGCCTGGACACAGGCCGAGGCGGAAGCAGGGCGCCCACCACCCAGACACCCGCCCGCCCGCGGACACGCGTTGCTGACGACAGAGCACCCGCGCTCTCTGGGCTTGCCCTGGTGGCAGTTCGCCTCCCGGGAAGTTGGAGATGCAGCTGGGGCAACTTTCACCCTGAACTTGACCTTCCTCAAGGGAGAACTGGCAGGTGGGACGAACAGCGACACCCACAGGGGAAGGGCCCGTCTGGCCTTGGAGCTCTTACAGAAGAGCCAGAGGCATCGCCGCACACGGCGACAGCGGCCTAGACGGCAAGGACGCAGAACTCCAAGCTCCAAACGCCGCGGGTTCCGAAGAGGAGCCCAGGAAAGGAACAGAAACTCTCACAAGCCCGGCTCCGTCGGAGAAGCACGAGCCGTGTAAAGCAGCGCCCGTGATTGCCCAGGCGGCGCCCTGCGGAGCGCTGGCGCTGACAAGTGCAACACGTGTTTTGTTTTCACTGAAAGACGATGCACCCACCAAAGTCAGCACACACCTCCCAAGTGGGCAGCTCAACAAACTGTCAGAAACTGAGCTCACCAGTGCAAACGTGTTCTGACCGAGAAGCACGAAGGGAGAGGCCCCCAGGAGCCCCTCCCTTTCTGGCCCCTTGAAGTCACTCACCTCCCAAGAGCGACACTCATCCTGATGTAGCAGCACAGACGCGTTGGGCCTGCCTCTAGAATGTATGTGAATGGAGCCACACACGCTGCTCTCTTCTTACTTGGCTCACTCCACTCGACGTTTTGCTCCTGCAAGTCGTCGGTGATGCTGCATGTAACCAGGATCACCCCCTCCCCCCCCATCGCTGTACGACAGCCCATCACAGGAGCGGGCCACGGCCGGTGCGCTCACTGTGCCGCGGAGCAGCCCCCCGCCTGCCGCTGCTGAGAACCGGGCGGCTGCGGCAGGGGTGTCCACCCACACATCCTTCGGCCCGCCTGTGCCTCTGCGCCCACCGCGCCAGCTTGCACCCTCCCCAGCCGGGCAGGCGGGTTCCGAGTGCCCGCGCCCCGGCCAGCGCCGGCATTGTCTTTGTTGTAGCCACTCTAGTGGGTGTATAACAGTGTCACTGACATGCTTCTATGTGTATTTTATTCCTTAAACTTTGTTTACTTCCAAGAAGGAATGAAGGCAGCTTATAAAAAAAAAAAAAGCCAGACTCAAAAAGAAACAATCTTTAAAGTTTTTTGAAGAATAAAAATGTAAAGAAAGAGGGTACATAATTATACCACAAACCTATACCAGGGTGCTGGTAATTACTCCAACTCACATGAAACCAATTTCTGAAATGTCTCGCAGCCAACACCAAAAGAGAAATGTGATGAGTTACACACCTTTCATTCTCTGATAAAAAGACTTATAGCTGGTGAGCAAAAGGAGCTTTGTTTGGAGCGTTAGGTCAAAGTTCACAACATAACTAATACTGTCTTCAAAAAGAATTTCATAAAAGACACAAAATCACTTTAATGCCTAAGAGGCAGACATAATGCTACTTTGTGATTCTCTGAGGTAGCTTTTAGATAATTGAGCTTTTTAGAGTGAATGGCTACAGTGTATCCTAGACTTCCCCTTCAAATTTTGGTTGTCCTAGGAATCTTAAAAAAAAAAAAAAAATCCTTACCCAAGTATATGCTTATTGAGTTTAGAGAGAGGAAGGGAGAAAAAGAGGGAGAGAGAGAGGGAAGGAGGGGGAGAGAGAGAGAGAAACATCAACACGAGAAACATCAGTTGGTTGCCTTTCATATGCACCCTGACCGGGGACCAAACCCACAACCTAGCTATGTGCCCTGACTGGGAATCGAACCTGAAACCTTTTGGTGTACGGGATGATGCTTTAACCAGCGGAGTCACCCAGCCAGGGCCTTAGGAGCCTTTAAATAAAATAATTTCTCCTCTGATTATAATGGTCATAGGAGCTCATTATAAAAAAAAATAGAAGAAAAAGAGAAAAAAAATTAAACATTAAGCCCACCACCCAGAGACATCCTTCTAGACGGTTTATTGAGATATCCACCACAATTATCTGTAAGAGCCCAAACCTGGAAACAACACACAGGCCCATCAACCGACGCCAGACACACAGAACGCAGCGCGCACACCCACGGCGACGGCCCGCTGGGCAAACGGGGGAGCGAAGCACAGCGCCAACAGCAGCGTGGACGAACTTGGGAACGGTACACTTAGGGAAAAAAGTCACTCACAGCAGACCCCAGACTGTGTCACGGCACTCATCTGCGATGCCCAGAACAGCGGACCCGCAGACCCAGACAGGAGATCAGTGACGGCTGGAGGTGGGGGGCGGGGAGAGACGGGAAATGCCCAGGAATAGGCCCCTGGGGTGATGAAAACGCCTTAGACAGCGGTGCCGGGCGCCAACTCTGAACAACCCCCAAACCACCGCATCATACAGTTTAAGAGCGTACACTTCATGGTGTGTGAGTTATACTCCAATAAAGCGTTGTTTTCAAAAGGGAAGCCACTGGGACCCCGCCGTAACAGCCGCAGCCGATGGGGCAGCTGTCTCACGGGTAAGGAAGTGGAGGCCTAACCGTGTCAACCGGTAAAGGATGGTGTCGGATCTGAACCCAGCTCCCCGTCCAGTCTCAAGTCTGGCCATCCTGGACTTAGGACACCACTGGGCAGGCTGGTCGCCCTGGTGAGTGCAAGGAAGGAGGGGGCCGGTTTCAGGGGACGCGAGGAAGGAAAGTCCAGCGATGGGAACTGCGCGACACCAGGAGCGGCGCCCGGGGCTCAGAGGGGCGCTCAGGGCTGGGGAGGAAGGCCCCCGGGGCACCTCTTCACCACCGGTCCAGGTCCCGGAACACCACAGAGGGGTTCCTGTTCCATGGTGTTTCCTTAGGCTGCTCTTGATCCCTTACCCTTAAGAAATTACGGTGTTCACTGGTTAAAAGGATGTTCTCCGTGATCTCGGACTATAAGATGCACCCCCCCCCCGCAATTTGGGAGGAATAATGGTTGTTGAGGCTGCTGTTGAGTTCTGTTTGCATTTACATTGGAGAAATATTATGTTATTTACGTTATTAAATATTTTACTACATTTTTTGCTTCAAAATTTTTTTTCCTATTTTCCTCCTCTAAAACCTAGGTGTGTCTTATGGTCCGAAAAGTGAGGTAGTTTATTTTGTTCATGAGATTCCTCTTGTAAGTGAGGCCATATGGTGTTTGTCTTTCACTGCCTGGCTTATTTCACTTGTCAGAATAGTCCCCAGTTCCATCCACGCTATAACAGAAGGTAGGACTTCCTTCTTTCTGCTGCGTAGTATTCCATTGAGTAAACGTACCACAGTTTTTTGATCCACTCATTTGCTGATGGGCACTTACGATGTTTCCTGCACTTGGCTGTTTGTAAATAGCACTGCCATAAATATAGGGTGCAAAAGTTCTTCTGAACTGGTGTTTCAGGATTCTTAGTGTATGGTCCCAGCAATGGAATCACTGCATCAGAGGACAGTTTCGTTTTTAATTTTGCTGCATTCCCACCAACAGTGCACGAGGGTTCCCTTTTCTCCACATCCTCGCCAGCACTTGTTTGTTGATGTGTTTATGATGGCCACTCTGACAGGTGTGAGGTGATATCTCGTTGTGGTTTTAATTTGCATCTCTCTGCTGCCTAGTGATGCTGAGCATCTTTCCGTAAGCCTGTGGGCCCTCTGTGTGTCTATTCTATCAACAATCACTTTAAATGTAAATGGACGAAATGCTTCCATCAACATACACACAGTGAGTGGCAGAGTGGATAAGGAAAGAAGATCCTTGCAGGTGCTGTCTACAGGAGACTCACTTCAGATGGAAAGACGTACACGCACTGTAAGTAAAGGGACTGAAAAAGATATTTCACGAAAATGGCTGGGGGGCGGGGAGCGGGGGGAGCAGTACTAACACCAGGTAAAACAGACTTTAAAACAAAGACCGTAATAAGAGACAAGAAGGACCCAGCAACTCCACTTTAGGGTATTTATCTGAAGAACTCAAAATACTAAATCCGAAAAACATACACATCCATGTGTTCACTGCAGCATTATTTCCAAGAGCCAAGATACGGAAGCAGCCTAAGTGTCCATCAGCAGATGAACAGATAAAGGAGTGGTGCATATACACAACGGAATATGACTCAGCCATAAAAAAAGGAATAAAATCTCGCCGTCGGCACCAACACAGGTGGGCCTAGAGGGCACTGTGCTGAGTGAAGGAAGTCAGACAGAGAAAGACAAACGCCAGATGATTTCGCTTCTGCTCTGTGGAATCTAAAAACCAAAATAAACGAACAAGCAACAGAGAGACAGACTCACAGACACAGAGAAGATTCTGACAGTCGCCAGAGCGGGGGAGAGGTTAGGAGGATGGGTGGACAAGGTGAAGGGATTAAGGATCACGAACTGGCGGTCACGGAACAGTCGCAGGGCTGTACGGGGCAGCACAGGAAATACACGGTGAGTAACACGCGGTGGGCAACAGTGGGTTTGCGGCTGTGAGCACACAAAACACAGTTTATTCCATGTTGTTCTTTTCCCATGCGAACAACTGCAAACCTACTTTTGCCCCACCCTGCACTGTAATAACTACGCCTTGTGCCAGACGTATATACGAGATTCATTGGGGTTTTCACTTCCTTAGTGAAAATCCCCTTAGTACAAAAATATCTGATCTCTGGGCTGTACACCCAAAGCTAATAAACTACTATACATCAACTGTAGTTGAAAAGAAAAAGAGACAATTTTCCTATGACTCTTTAAAACTGTACATCTTCTACACCCAAAACAACACAACTTCGACGCTGCGTTATTTCGACCGCTCAGCAGCAGAACGGCCGCGGAGACACCCGAGGCCAGCTGTATGCTTACCGTGAAGTTCACGTTCTTGATGGGTACCTTGAGGTGCTCAAATCCCACGATCACCGTGTACTTCGTGTAATTCAGGTAGCCGAGGTGAGCCACGATCATCTCTGCGCACTTCTGCAAACGCACAAGGGAGCACAGGGTCTTTAGAGGGCGCCAGGCCCCCTCTCCCTCCAGGTGACTGTGAAGTGACGTGTGTCCACACCAGCGACCCGAACGGACCGTCTCCAGGGCACTCAGCAGCAGCCTGCACAAATGCAGGTGCCAGCCAGCCACCCTGAGTTTTTAGACAGGAAGGTCCCGGGGGGTATTCTTAGAAATAAACAAAAACGGCTTATAGTTCTTAGACTCTACTCGGGGCAACTCGAAGTAATATGCAGCTGCCTAAGGAGGCTCCCAGGGTAACACAGACCCGACACCTCCACAAACACGCCTGTGCGTGGGGGATGTAGCTGAGACACAACCGGTCAGACCCTCGGCTCCCCTGCCCCTTCAGGCCACGTCCGCAGCTGCGGTGAGCGGACCGGGCGCTTGTCCCTCTCCCCACCGGCCTGCTGCTCCCGACACGGAGCCGCCGGCGGTCTCCGCTGGGTCCGGACGCCCCCACGGCAAGGCTGTGCGAACGACAGCCAGTGGGCTCCCGTCAGGTGTGTGCTCAGGTCCCGCCAGGAGCCCCCCCGCCCCGCCCCCGTCCTTCGGAAGGAAGACTCGAGCCTCCTCAGGGCTCCTTTCAGGGGGGCGAGGGGGCGCAGAGGTGCACTGGTGGCCGGGTGGGCAGGGACTGCTCCCCACAGACCTCGGCCCAGCCAGGCTGCCCGGCCGGCACGCTCCTCTGGAGCTTCCCAGCGCCGGCCAGGGGGCACTGTCCGCCCAGGACCCACAGGTGGTCCCGTGGCTTTCCCGGCGGCACCTGCGGGCACTGAGGCTCTGACCGGGGCACAGTCGCCCCCACTGAGAAATCAGTCAAAGGCCCCTCGAGCCAGGAATGTCTGAGGTCAGGGCAGGAAGACAGGCGTGCGTGCCGGCCCAAGGAGCAGGAAGGGCGGCAGAGGAGAGGCCAGTGCGCGTGCCGTGGGGGCGGCGTGAAGGCGCGTGTCCAGCCCTCTCTAAACCCTCAGGCCGACCAGTGACGCCAGGCCTGCACCGGAGCCCACCGTGACGGGCGTGGGCAGGGACAGGGGCTCCCCGTGACCCCAGGCCCCGCTCTCCCATGGCTGACACACGAGTCAGCAGCTGTTTACGCGGCCTCCGAATGCTGTTCCTCGTCCACCCGATCGACTTCCCTCAAGGGCAGCGTCTGCCTGCTCTCAGGGCGCGTGAGTGTGGGACCCTGGTCCCAGCAGCACCAAGCCCCCCTTCATCCCCAAGCCCGGGGCACGGGCCTGCGTCTTGACCTCTCTGCGCCGTGGGCTCTGCGTGTACAGAACGGGCTCTAGTGAAGACCCTGCCCGCTGGAAGGACTGCTGGGAGGACCGCAGGAGGCGCCGTCCAGAGCACCTGGCACGAGGCCCAGCAGGGGGTCCACAGTCCCCACCCTGGACGCAAACGCACGCCCCTTTGGGTGCCCCCCACGCTCTCCCGGCCACCTGAGGGCACGTCCTCACCGCAGCACCGACCACCCGGTCGGACCCTGCCAACCAACCGTGACAGACACGCGGCTGACACAGTCCGGCCATCGGGCGTCCGACCGCACCGCCGCACGCCGCACCTGACGTGGGTGCCCAGCCACAGGTCTCTCCTCCTGAGCGGCCTGGCGCTCTCGGGGCCCCCAGACCGATCAGGGCGGGCGTCACATGGCTGGGAACCACCCCGCACCCCACGCCAAAATGACCACGCAGCAGTGGCGGGCCGTCCTGCGTCAGCAGCCGCCTAGAGACACGCCCGGCAGTCAGTCACACAAACCAGGAGAAGCACGCATCACCCGAACTCAGGGTGTGTGTGGTGTGCAGATGCTCGGTGGGCTGTGTCTGTGCGCATGTGCTCGTGTTTGTGTGTGCACGCACACGCGTGTGTTCCTGAGCACTTCTGAGGGCATCGGCACGTGAAGTCCGAGGAGCTTTCCATCCCACCATCAGCCCGGACTGTTTTGCCCGAGACAGCAAGTCCGTGACGGTGCAGCGTGAGAGCGATCGCGGCCGCGAGAACGCACTCACCCCGGCACACGTGAGGGTCCGAGTCCGATTGTGAGCTTTGTTACGGATGAACTTGGTGGTTCCGTCTTCGGCCACCCCGTCCACTTTAACGGTCATGGAGAAGTTCATCTGAACCGACGTTTCTGCAAAAGCAAGGAGGGTGACGTCAGGGACTGCGTTGGGCACGTCACGCTGACCAGGTGTCTGCCTGGCTCTGGGACAACCCGGGGCCGCAGCGGCTCTGAAAAGCCCGCCCTGCCAGCCAGGTGAGGCCGCTCTGTGGGCACCGCCGCCCCCCGCCCCCCGCCCCCAGGGATCCCGTCAGAGCCCGCAGTTCGGCTCCGCCAGTCACCCCCCAGAAGGACAAATGTTTCATGGCTAATGGGCCATTTGTTACTTCCCGCACAGATTTCTAACCTAACTTCATACCAATACTAAAGGATGGATTCATAGCCCTTTTTCTGATATATACCTTATTTTTCTGATTACATGCTCACTGTTTCATAAAAACAGAGGAAAAAGACTATGAAGTCGGCACGAAACCCTCGTAACCCCGCCACCTAGACACCGTAGTAACGTGCATGGTCCTGCCTCCCAGACCCTCTTCTAGACCTGCGCACGCACAGCTGATACTGAGTTTATTTATCTGCGTAAAATGTTACCCAAAAAGGGGCTGCTCTCCAATACATGTTTTTTCACTTCCTTTACTGTGGTCAAGGGTTCTTTCCACATTCTTTCTCAACCAGAGCACCTCACCGGGACCCCGGAACACCGACGACACCACGCTGGCCGCCCTCTCAGCCCTCCGGGGACGGCGCACAGCCAGCGCCGTTCTCGGCGAACAGAGCTCGCCCACGGTACACAGGGGTGCTCCGGGGAGGCTCTGCAGCCTGGGCACCCCCGGTATATCGAGGCCACGCGGCTCTCGGCTGGGGGGTCTGTCCGGTGCACTGCAGGATGGTCAGCAGCACCCCTGGCCTGCACCCACCAGACACCGGCAGCTCCTGCTTCTCCCCAGTTGTGACAATCAGAAGGTCACAACGTCTCCAGACATCGCCAACTGTCCCTGGGGGACAGGTCTATGGCCTCGGGGCGTCAGCACCTAATCTGCTCCAGAACCCCACTGAAGGGAGCTGCGGCGGCGGGGGCTGCGGCGGCAGCGGCTGCGCCGACCGGCTCTCCCTGAGGGCCGCGTCGTCACCTGCTCGGGAGGACAACGGAGAACGCGGAAGGGGCTTCCGACCTGCCGCCACTGCCAAGAGCAGAGACCACCCGTGGAATCCACCTTTGAACACCTATTCAAAGACTTGAACGCTCTTTCAGCTTTTCAAAGGTGGCACACTGTACAAAGACCACGCAGACCGGGCGTCAGGCTGCGTACCTCGAGTCTGATTCAACTCCACGACGCACGTCAGCCACAGCTGCTGGTTGTAGGCGGACAGCGGGTTTGAATGCACTTCGAATGCCTTTAGCTGAAGGAAAAGGAAAAAAACGTTAAGTAACCCACGTGACCTTTTCATTGCATCCACCAAGTAACTCATCTTAACACCCAAAATCTACATTTAGCAAAAGGGTTTGGGCGTTAGTGCCGAAACGGTTTTCCTTTTGACAAGGCAAGTGAAACTCCGCCTTCCGAACAAGCGAGGACCGACTCTCCGCCACGACCCCCTCCGCCTCTCACAGAGCCCCCTCTGCGCAGGCGGCACCCGCCACCCGCAGCCCTAGGACGACACCCCTACCTAAACACACAAAAAAAGGCCGTCTCGGAGGAAAACTGAAAGTGCGCGTGATGAGACGCATGGTAACAAGGACACCACAGGAGTATGCTCGCAAGAGAATCTTGATTCAGCATCAGTATGCCAGCCAGTCCCTGTGTGGTGGCTCTTTTTGGCTTTGGAAAATCTTCACTGCCTCGGGGAAAAAAACTAGAGGGGACCGCACTGCCAGCAACACCTCTGCGGTGTCCGCGGGGACACAGTGCTGCTGTCTGAAGGCGGGGGCTGTGGAGGAAATTGCTTGGGCAGCCCACCCAGGGTCCCGAAGAGAAGCACCGTGTGCATGCGCCATCTTGGAATGCCACGTGTGTTTTCTGCGCTGTGACGCTTATGGAGGCCTCTATAAAGCTCTGTGGCCCAGGCGTGCCCCGCGGCCACCTGCACGAGGCAGTCCACCCCGGGATCATCTGTCGTCCTTCAGAAGGGAGGGGGACCCTTCGGAAGCATGTCAGCCCTGTGGGCAGGCTGCTGCATTCCGTGTCTTTACAAAGACGGGCATCCGGAGACACAGAGCGTTTCCAGACGCAACCACGGCCGAGAACCATGGCCATGCCTCCCCAGACCAGAGGCGTGGGCTCGGAGCGAAGGAAAGTAAGGACATGCCGAGAAAAGAGCCTGCACAGGGGGCCCTTTCGAGCCAGCAGGAGTGAAAAGGAGAATTAAAAGGGGTAAGTTTTAGGACATTTTCCTCCTTTTGCCCTTTTGAAAACGGTAAGGGTGGACATGTGGCAGGGAGCTGGGAGGACAGGCAAGGGGATCTCTGAGGTCGGAGAAGCAGCGTTAAACCATGCACGTTACGGTGCCAGGAGGCTGCAGGACAAGGGCGTCCAGTTCACACATGAAGACTGTGTTGGACACGCAGAAAAAGAAACGGGCTTAGTTGTTCGGGCTCTCGTAACCTAGTCTTCATTAAAGAACACCAAAAATCTCCAGTTGGAAGGACTTTTGTTTTTCTCCAAAGGTGGTGAAAAATCAAGGGAAATTTAAAAAGGAAAAAAAAAAAGAGTATTTCATTTAAGCTGATTTCATGAGGAGAATACCAATCACCCAAAAGAACTTGACTGCTGGAAACAGCACCTGGGGGCCGCGTCTGGGGCTGAAACCGAGCGAGCGCGGCTGTCAGAACCGAGGACCAGGGCGAGCTGAGCTACCTTTGGACACGACCTGCCTGCCGCTCCATAGGCCCTGCCGCTCCCCAGGCTCTGCCGCCCCCACCCTTCTCAGGCCGAAGGCACTCATCACGCAGAAAATCTGGCCCTTTTACAGCAGCCGAGCACCTGGGGGCCTGCAGCTGGGAGTGGGGCAAACGGACCGCAGCGCCCCCTACGTCCTGGGACCTGGAAGTGCACGGGGCCTGTCGTCTGCCACCCAGACCGCGTCTTACCTGTTTGCTGTTATTTAGCGACACGTACGCTTCGGAAGTCTGGATCACTTTGGGCCCTAGAGTGTGGCAGAGAAGGGAAAAGAGCAGGTTACAGTCTATGTGGATAATTAATGTACTGGCGTTTTTCAAATGCCAACGAAGTCATATATTATACGGAGGTGATCTTCTTTCCCTGGGCTGTCCTAGAGGTGTCCCATCTATGGAAGACGGCGAACCACACAAACACGGGCACGCAGCGCCCACTCCGCGGCACGCCGTGACTCCCCCAACGCGGGTGAGCCCAGCGTGAGCGCCACACGACGCGCACGGCGCGCGTCCGTCCGTCCGTCCGTCCGTCCGTGCAGGAGCCGCCCCTCCGCTCCGGGCGGGCGCTCTCGCTGTGCACATGCGCGCATGCGCGGCCCTCAAACAGCCACAGCACCGAGCGCGTCTCCGTGATTTACAAACCATGGAGACGTCTGCTGAAAACTAAGACACATTGACCCGTTCATCCAATGAGTCCAGTCTTCCACAAATATTTATCAAGCAGAGAATATTAAAAGAACATTATTGCTAAGGCTTCGTACCTAAAAAACATTCTACCTAAGGCTCTTCCTGAAAACAGACACAGAAGCTCCACAGAATCTTACACTGCGATTTTTCAGAGCTTCGGCCTTAAAAGAAGTGACCGAGGGACACTCTATGGATCTGGTTCCAGTTGAATCTTGAACTGCATGTGTCCTGAAACAAAGTGCTCAGCTTGATGCCAGCTTCCGGAGCTGCGCCGGCGACGGTCCCCAGCCCGCCGGCCGGCCGGTCCCAAGTCTCTGAAGACCCCGGACACGGGAACAGGGCAGTGAGGACGAGTTTCCGCCGTCCCGGTCCTGGGGTGTCTGGGACTGGCTCTCCACCCGACTCTGGTGTAAAGACGCGAAGGAGCCCGCGTCCGGTAGTGAAGCAGGCACAGACCGTCCAGGAGCACAGACCGTCCAGGAAGACGGGCAGGAAACCTCTGGCGGCTGCTCCTGCTCCGCCACTGATGACAGCAAGGAGCCCAGTGGCTCTGGTTACAACACTTGAGAACGTGTCTGTCAGACTACAAGGGTGACCAGGTCGGCTGAACCCCCCACGGCCTACGGGGATGGTGATGGCCTCCCCAGGCAGAGGCCTCGAGGCTGAGACTCCTGGGGACCAGCCTCCCTCGCTTCCAGAACTCTCCCTGGACTCCCGCCCCGCAGGCCCCTAGAGGTGACGTCCAGGGGGCAACCCGAGAGGGGGTGCGCTGTACCCCCCAACCACTTGAGTTCTCTGATCCACGCAGACAGAAATCAGAGAGGGGGAGGGGGAGGGACGTAAAGGTGGGCCGGGACGAACAAAGGGGCACGGGCCCACCGCGCAGTGCTTCTCCGCTGAGAGCTGCAGCTCGGAGGTGAGCGAGGACCCTAACAGTGTGGCTGGCTGGGCAGCTCAAGCCTGGTCCGGAGGGCGGTCCCCGGTGAGAGGCTTAGAAAAGCCGCACCTGCCTCGACTGAATGTCGAGGAAGGGATTCCGAGGCCCAGGAGATGGGCCCGTTAGGGTGGGGCTGCCCTTTCAGACCCACTGGGGGCGTCCAGAGACCCGCCGCCGCTCCCTCACCATCACTGCCAAGAACGGGGGAGGGGGCTCGGCACCCTACAGCTCCTGGGCAGCCCTTCTCCGCAGGCCAGGCCTCCCGCACCGTGGGTGCCGTGGCCAGTGTACCAGGGAAACACTACACCAAGGCGTAACTGGTGAGACTGGGCGTGGCACCACTGTGACCCCGGTGACACCCCCCGCCCCCAGCAAAATGTTTGCTTCTTGTCCCCTCGAGGGCTCGCTTCCACCAGGAGACACCACGATGATGCCACTGAACTGGAAGCTAAGACCGCCCCGGCCACGGTGGGCTCCTCCCACCTCCCAATCGGCAGGCAGAGAAGGGGGTTCCTGAGCCGGTCGGGGGCCGAGGGGGCCTGAGGGGGCCGAGGCTGACTGCCCAGGGGGCTGGACGGCTGGTCCGCAGCAGTGGCGGTGTGCCTGGGAGGCAGGACACGGCTCAGGGCGTCTCCTAGTGCTGCCCTGCCTGTGACTACGGTCAACGGCAACCCACAGCCCAACCCAGGGGCGACGAAAGGCCCAGGCCCGTCAGGAACGGACGTCTGGGTCACCCCACCAGGTGAAGCACCGGGGCCACTGGAGACGCCTGCTGGAGGCGAAGGGAACGCGGAAAGGGCGGTGGAGGGGGTAGTTACAAGTCCCAGCTGGGACCACGGAACTCGTGATGGACACAAGGACTGTAACTGTCACGAGCGTTTCCTTCTCGTTTTGTCCTGAACACGTGTGTGTGCGTACAGGTACATATATTAGGCAAATATCTCTCTTTCCACCCCTCTCTCGGTCCCTTATTGAGGGACACCGGCTGCACTGACACTGGCGACCTGATGACACAGCACGTGAGCACCGCTGACCCCACGCCACAGTGCTGGGGCGACAGGAGGGGAAGGGGAGCACACGTCACCCTGGAACCCCCCCTCCCCCTCTGGGGGAGGGCCCGTGTGTCCGGGCTGTGCGCAGGACAGCTGCGTGATGATGTCCTTGTCACCATCCTCAGTACCAGGGATCGATCGCGGTTTAAGGGGATGGCTGTGGAGGCTGGGCAGACGGTGGTGGACCGGCGACGGGGAATTTTCTGCGTCAGTGTGACTGGGCCTGCCCAGCCACGGGGTGACACGTCACTCTACGTGGGGGGGGGGGCTGTTTCGGGGTGAGGTGAGCACTGAAGGGGTGGAGGAGTCACATAGACCCCCCTCCACAGTGTGGCCGGACCCCACCCAACCAACTGCAGTCCCGAACAGGACAAAGGAGGCTGAGCGGGGGAGACTCTGCTCTCTCTGCTCTGGTCTTTGGGCTGGGACTCAGCCCGGGATGCAGAGCACCGGCCACCCTGCTTCTCGGGCCACAGCCACACCGTGTGCTTCCCAGGGCCCCCGCCGTCCCCACGGGCCAGGGCCGCACGGAGAACCCGGCCTGCACACCCCCTCCCGGTGCGGCTCCCCCCGCCGGCCTGTCCCCCCGGAGACCCCGGACCGATGCCAGCGCTCCATGGAGAGAAGGGGAGGAGAGAGAACACCCTGCCGTTGTTCTGCTCCTCTCGGCCTCGACGCCTCCGAGTCCGCAGGCGCGGAGGAGGAGGTCGGACGTGATCCTGGATGTCCGCGGCAGCCAGTGCTCACGGAGTCAGGAGTCGGCCGAGGTCCGTGAGACTGGAGACCTTGGGAGCATTCATGCCCCCTACCAGTCTGAAGGGGCAACTGTGGAAGTCAAGGAAGCTAGCGGATGTGTCCTGGGCTGTGATGCACGCAACTACTACCCCTCGATGACTCCACGAGGAGGGGAACGAGAGGGACCATGGCTGCCACCGTCCCTCGTCATCTGCAGCAGCAGCAGCAGGAGGCAAATGACCCCCTGACGACCGCCTGGTCCTCGGCCTCCGCAGCCCACCCAGTGACGCAGGTCTCAGCGGAGGCTGAGGACCTAGTCTTTGGAGGCGCACCCCGCACGGTGTCAGCTTCGAGCACGCCTCTGACACGGTCCCGTCCGACCCCTTTCTCAGAGACAGGACACTGAGGACCAGGGCAGTCTCGGGTTTCACGAGGTTCCCAGAAAGCCGGGTCCCTTCCCTTCCGACTGCATCCTGGGGACCGCAGGGCACTGGGGGCCCTGAGGACGGGGCTCCCTCCTGCCAAGAAGTTGGGCACCAGCAGAGCAGCCTCCCCCTGCCCCGAGGCCGCCCCAGCCCCGAGCTCCCGGCATTGCACGCCCTCCGCACCACACGCGGGCTGGACTGTCTCTGTGCCCGTCTCCTACGTCAGCCAGCGTGCTCTGGGACCCCCAGTGCCCGGCGGGGGCCCGGCACACAACGGTCTCTCCAGAAATGTCTGACTGTCCAACAGAAGGCACTCGGTCAAGGCCGCCCAGAGCTGCCGCCGCCCTGAGCTCAGGCCCTGGCTGCTGTGTCGGGCGGGACCAGGGTCACCCCTGCACCTAGCGCGTGCAGAGAGAAACAGCACCCAGCACCCTGCACCCTGCACGACGGGCCCTGGGTGGGGGACAGCAGGCGGGTGCAGCTGGGCCGGGCTGACTGCCCCGGGCTGACTGCGAGTGACAAAGCGACGCCCCCCTCCCCCCACCCCGGCCTGCGCCTTACCTTTGATCCCGACGAAGACGGTCAGGCCGAAGCAGACGAAGAAGACGACGAACACGAGGACGAAGTGGCGCTTGGAGAGCGTGTACAGCCGCATGGGGGCCAGCCTGCGGGGCAGAAGCCGGGGGGTGAGGGGCAGTGGTGAGGGGCGGCGGGGGGCCAGCTCAGGCCGGGGGGGAGGGTGGCCCTCCCCACCCTCGAGCCCTCACCTCAGCGTCAGACCCACTCTAAAACCGGGCGACCCCCACCCGGGACACAGTCTGGATGATCCCCATGGCCACCACGGCGGGGGGGTCCAGTGCTCTGTGCAGAGGCCGTGCCGCCCCGGTCCGCGCAGCACCAGTAGCACCCCACCCTGCGTGGCAGAAGAACACGCTGCTGTGGCTCCCGCGCCCACTGGGGGCGAGTTCCACCCGCCCCGTCAGCAGTGGCCGACCCTCCCTGCACATCCCACCCCCCCCACCTCGAGCACACACACAGCTGTAACTGCCCGTCACGACCGAGCCCCGGCCGGGACAGCAGGGGCCGCCAGCATCACGCGTCCCCCTCTCGTCTTCCCGCCGGCCCGCGGTTCTGCTCCCCGTCCAGAGCCCCTCACCCTCGGAGACCCCTCACCTGCGCCGCCCATCGTGGGGTACTTCAGCCCCACCGTCCCTGGGGGGCTCAGTGTTGGTTTCTTAATCCTCACCCAAAATTCATTGCTTTCACAGAGAAAGAAACATCACTGCGAGAGGGAGGCACTGGCTGGCTGCTTCTCCTCTGTGCCCCGGCCGGCCGGGGATCGTCTGCACCCAGACCAGGGATGAAACCTGCCACCTGGGCATGTGCCCTGACCGGGAATCGAACCTGCAACCTTTGGGCTACAGGACAATGCTCCAAGCAACTGAGCCACACTGGCCAGGGCCGTGGGGCTTGGTTTTGATGCACCAAGCAAGCTGCCTGCAGTTTTCTGTGACTTAACACCAACGCGGAACCCTGTCCTCACAAGGGCCCAGGACCCTCTCTCTGGTCCCCTCCAGGTCTCCCCGCTGTGTCCCTTGGTCAGGAGAAAACCGTGGAGCAGCAGGTGCCATTTCTTTCAAAACTCCCTCCGTCAGAGGCAGGGAAACAAAGGGAAAGTCTGTTAAGGACCAGAGGATACATGTTTGAGTGCTGGCGGGCCACGCGGTCTCCGCCTCGAGTCCTCAACACAGCCCCCGACGTGACACGAACCCGTGTACGTGGCTGTTTTAACTCAGCCCTCCCACAGAGAGGCGGCTGACCTCTCCCCTAGAACCGTCCTGGCCTTGGCAGCCGAGACAGTAGGGAGGAGTCTCCCCAGCCTCACAGATAACAACTGCTCCACCCCGAGTGCCACTGGGTGTCACCGGGATGGGGAGGGACAGGCTTCCGACCACTCACGGAGCATCGGGCTGTTTGCTTGTGTGGCCTGAGGCTCGCACGGCTGTGCACACACACACACGCCCTCTCCCGCACAGGCCGGGGACGAAACTCCAGTTCTTCTGCAGCAGGGAACTCCCGGGACCGTGTCTCGGGGCAAAGGTGGGGCCCGCAAGCCGCTGCCCCTCGTCCCTCTGACGTGGCTGTGCCGATACAAGGTCCGCTCTCCCCAGCAGGACCTGCCAGGGCTCGTGGCCATGCTGACCAGGGTCACCGTGCGGAAACAAAGGAACGAGTGTCTCGGTGCTCTCCTTTGGGACTCGGGCCCAAAGGCCGGGCCACGTGTGACACTGCTGTGTGTGCGACGAGCCGCCTAGTGGGTGACGTGGCCTGAGTCCAGCGAGATTCTAGACCCCGAGACGGCGAGGCCCGACAGCCCCAAACGTCAGAGCCAGCAGCCAGCGCAGGGGAAGCCCGACCCCTCCCACTGGCACACGGGGACCTGGTGTAGAGGCGCAGGACGCTCGCCCACGCTGTCCCAGCTGCCGCCCCCCGGGCAGGAACCGCCGCGCCCTGGGGGAGGGGCCCCGGGAAGCAGGAGCGAGCTGAGGGGGCCCGGCCCCACGATCGCCCTTCTGGGAGAGCCCTGTGGAACGCAGCGCTGGTGGAGAACAAGGTCCCCTTTGTCACCTGCCTGCTACCCCCTCCCCCGGTGTCCGGGCTGCGGGTACTTCCTCCACGGCGTGTTGAATGCCTGCCCAGCACCGCCGCGGGGAAGGTCCCCACGCCGGGGCACCGGGCCTCCTCACACAACGCAGAGCAGACTGAGCGGCAGGGAAACGCAAGGAGTCGGTGGTCTGCGGCGCGCTGATGCCCGAGGTCTGGCGGACGCGCTCGGCTCGGAGACGCTGGCACGAGGCACGCGGCGGAGGGTGGGCGGGCGCGCCCTGCACTGTCCTGGCCACTCTTCTGTGAACCCACAGTCCCTTAAAAACTGCACAAGGTCACGCATGGGGCCCCGTCGGTGGCTCCCAGGGTAAAACCGGCCCCTCATGAGGCCGTGGCTTCAAGGACTAAGGACGCCCAGCAGAGGTGAGAGCAGAGAGATCACTTGGGAGCAGAGAAAAACAGAAGAATAGTGCTGTTTAATTTTTTTTTTTTTAGATTTTACTTATTTACCTATTTTTAGAGAGAGGGGGAGGGAGGAAGACAGGGAGAGAAACATCAGTGTGTGGTTGCCTCTCACGCGCCCCCCACTGGGGACCTGACCCACAACCCAGGCACGTGCCCTAACTGGGAATCGAACCAGGACCTTTCCGTTCCCTGGCCGGCGCTCACACCAGCCAGGGCAGGAGAGTGCCATTTAATTTCTGACTTTTAAGACACATTGTCAATGATTGACTATACAAGCACAGTTACTTGGCAGGTGAGAAGCAATGCTGAGAAGAGACTTGAGAAAGGGCTCAGAGGAAGGCACAGAAGAAGAAAAAAAAGGCCCTACTCGAGAAAGCGTCAGCGGCCCGGCCACCCCCACCGACCAGGCTGCTGGGACGGGGCGCGCCTCCCGTCTGCGGCAGCTGCAGCTTCCTGACAAGCGACCCCTCCCGCCAGCGGGTGCCACAGTTGGGGACAGCCGCGCGGCACAACTCCACGTGACGACGCCTCCCTGGCCACCGTTCTTTCTGCTCTTGACTTCTCGTCTCAGAGCTTCAAAGGGGTTCACAAAAACACGAGAGACTCTGACACCGCAGGGACACCCTCCCATTCCAGAGGAGTACCAGGCCGACACTGCTGTACAGAGTGACAGAAGAACTCTGGGAGGGCCACAGGAGGACAGGAGGAGCAGCCGTAGTAGCAGCAGCAGCAGCGAGGAGTCAAGGCCACGGTGAGAGCCGCTCAGGACTCAGGACGGGTGTCCCCGCCCACTCCCCTCCACGTCTCAGGCCCCCGGCTGCCTCCCAACACACTTCCTGCCCCGAACCAGGCACCCGGCAGTTTCTCCGCCCGCACCCCGGTTCCCCTCCCTGCCTGCACCCCGGTTCCCCTCCCTGCCGAAACACCGGTGAGTTTCCAACGAGCAAGCTAACCCAGCCCACCGGCGGCCCGGCACGTCCCGGTAAGCAGACAGCTTTGGCGCTCCGTGGCCAGGCCCACGGATGAGAGCAGCACTCTGGGAACCGCTCCCGGGGAAGACCCGATGCAGAACGTGCCCACAGCCCACAGCCCACCACCACCGGGAGGTCTCCTCGGCGTCGCCAGATCCCGGCTCCAGATCCAGGACACAGGCTGGGCGGGCTCCGACGCTGCGGACCCGCTTCCACTCTAACAACCTCCCACCTCCGGGAACCACCCCCGACCCTCCAAATAGCTGCCCATCCTCCTGAGGTCAGCACCACTAGCACCCCACCCCCCACCCCCAGGCGAGAGCGCCTAGGCTGGGGAAGGCGAGGCTGGGGAAGGCGAGACGACAGAGCCACGAAGCAGCAGAGGCGCACGCAGGCCGGGCATCACGCCCCCAGGCTGACACCCCACCGCGCTCCCCACCCGGCGCAGCCAAGCCGGGGCCCGGAGCTGCCCACTCTCACCCCTGACGGAGGGGCTTCTTCCGCCCCCCGCCCCACACCGTCCACACCTGGCCCAGCACCCATGGCTCACCGGTGTGTCCCACCTGCCACTCAGCTTTCCCTCGCTTCTCCACCTCTCCTGGAGGCCCCGGGGTCTTTCTTAAAAGCTTCATTTATTCATTTTTAGCAGAGAGGAAGGGACGGTGAGAGGGAGAGAAACATTGACCAGCTGCCTCTTGCTCATACCCCAATGGGGGACCTGGCCCGCAACCCAGCATGTGCCCCAACTGGGAGTTGAACCTGCGACCTTTTGCTTTGCGGGATGAGGCTCATCAAACTGAGCCATGCCAGTTAAAACCGTTACGACACACGTGGTCTGCACGACACAGCTGAGTGCATGAAGATGGAGTGTCAGTCCACCTGCACGGACAGCAGCCTCGTGACGGGCATTTAGAAAATGTCTATCCAGTGCTGGCCAGCTGGCTCACAAGCTCACAAGTGTTCGCGTCGCTCCCTCACGTCAGAGCTGAGATTTCCCGGGGCGGGGCGGCGGGAAATGGCCCCCTCGCACACACCTGGCCAGGCCTAGTACAGCACCTGACGGATCTTGCCCCCAGAGGACCAGACCCGGGAGCCTTCCTGCAAGGCCCTGCGAGCTCCGTGTCTCTCAGCTTCTCCTCCCAATGAGACCCAACGTCCGTCTGCGTCCCGGGGCCTGCGCACCCTTCCACCACGGGCCCCCGACACTCACACCCCACCGCGGGCACCCGACACTCACACCCCACTGCGGGCACCCAACACTCACGCCCCACTGCGGGCACCCAACACTCACGCCCCATCGCGGGCACCCAACACTCACACCCCACAGTTCCCGTCTGGCCAGAACCCCCTGGCCCTCGCCACGGACAGACTGTGCCCTTAGGGCCAGCCTGGACCCTTTCGGTCCCTTCTAAATTAACTGCACTTTCCTGAGCGGTTTAAAATACCAGACACATTTCCTAGAGAAACTAAAAACGCTCCCATTGGGGAGCCAAGCCCGAGACTGTGGCCACAGTCCGCAGCGCTGTCCGCCTCGCCCCTCCTGCGCAGTCACAGCCACAGCCCCGGGGCCCACTCCCCAACAAGGGCAGGCCTGTGCAGACCGCGGTTCTGGCGAGAAGACACAGGAAAACTGTTCTGCAGGGCCCTCCTCGCCAAAGGCCCCCGCTGTCTCCCGGGGACTCGTGTGCACGACGCTTGCCTGTCTCCGCTCTTCTCGTCGCCCCTGGCCCCCTCCGCGGCCCGAGGCCTGTTTCGGGCTTCAGAGATGAGGATCACGCGAGCGATTCCACGCTCACGTCTCAGCCCGGCTACGCCCCAGACTGATGAGGAGGGCGTGCCTGGTCGGCATCTCAAGCGTGAGGCGTCTAGAACCAGACTCCCGATCTTCCAGTGCCCCTGACCTGTGGTCTCCCCACCTCAGGAAGTGGCCACTCCGGCCTTCTAGGTGCTCGGGCCAAAAACTACGAGTCATCATTGACGTCTGTCTTTTCCCTGGTTTCCTACGCGTTCTGTTATCTTCCCCGCTATGAGACGTCATCCACCAGCAATTCGCAAAATTTAACTGTCTCCTCCCAAAGATGTCTTTTAATGTTTTCCTGGCACTGGCCCTTGCCCTCTACCCCAAGCAAGGGTCACAGCAGCCCCAGGTGGGTGCCGCCCACCAGCACAGCAGGCCCACCGGCCACGCACCCTCGGGCACTCGGGCCTTCCTCCCGGCTCCTGGAGGAGCCAGTGAGCCCACCAGGGTGGCTCAATGCTCCGGACCCACTGGAGCCAACCTGGCAGTTGGTTGGCTAAGCAGTTGGCTGGCAGTTGGTTCGCAACCCACTAAGCGCTTCTCCCCCCACGCAGGCCCCCTGAGAGGCACTAACACAGCTCCAGAAAGAACAGTGGGGAGGCGAGCGCTCAGTCAGCCTCTTCCCGGGCCTGCAGTGGGGCGGCCGCAAACGGAGACTTGGGTGAGCAGGAACCGCGAGAAAGGTCCTCCAGGTGCGGCCCTTCGGTGACCTGGGGAAGTGGGAGGGACAGCCAGCACCAGCAGCCCTGCAGGCCTCCGCCAGAACCCAGGGGACGGGAGGAGGCTGCGCCCGGGGGCCCGAGGGCGTCACCAGTGCCCGTTCATCCTGCCCCGTGAAGTCACGGCCCAGCAGGGAGCTGGGACAGGCAGTCGCCGTCACAAGTTCTGCTACCCGTTCCAACTCCAGCCGGAGCTCCCCGCTTGGAGAATCAACTACTAGAATTGGGCAGTGGAAAGGGACCTTCACTCCCAGTTCCCTCTCATTTTAGTGAAGATTTCATTTTTCTTGTAATCTATATAAAAATAATCCCTTCTCCCATGGTCCAAAGTGCCAGTCGGGGGCCGGTCCGCCTGGGCTCAAATCCTGGCCCCCCCACTTCCAGGCAGGTGAGTGTGGGTGTCCGTGTGGTCGTCGAGTGTCAGCCAGAGACAATCAGGACACCGGGGCGGCCAGGAGGCACCGGAGCAACAACGACGTGCTCAGAACTGCACAGTAAGCACGGAGCTCATGCACAGCAGTTCTAACAGTAGTGGTTGTGCTCTTCCCCTCCCCCTGCTTTGTCTCTTTTAACAAGTCTACTTTCGTCCCACCAACATCCCTGAAGACCCCCTCTCCCGTCCTGTAGTTCGGAACCCAACCCACTGGGGGGAAGGGCAGCAGCGGCTGGCATTCCCCAAGCCCAGCCTTGGCACCAGGCCGGGCACCTCCCGAGGAAGCAGGCACTGCCAGCCCATTTTGCATACAGGAAGACAGAGGCTCTGGCGCGGGCATCTCCCACTGCGGTCCCAGCCAGCAGGAGGTGCAGGTGGGGCTTGATCCCACAAGGACGGGGGCAGAAAGGTGGCCCGCCACTCCCTCGAGCTCACTCCGTGGCCCCCTCACCAAAGACTTTCCCTTTAAACCCTTCCAAGGAATGGGTTTTGACAAGAAACTCTGGAGGGGAGGAACCAAAGAAGAACTCTGAGATTTCAGTCAACCAACTTGAACATTTTACGGATAATTTATCTGCAGCTATCCAGAAAGGCCATCGGGCAAACAGCGAGAGCCCCACAAGCTCCAAATGTGCGTTAATGAACAAACCACGGATTCCCGTGTCTCCCTGCGAGGCTGCAGCAAGCCCGGCAACTCACTGCCGGGAGCACGCTGGTTAGGTGACCAGTGACCTGTCCGGGGCAAACGGAGCAGGCAAGCGGGCTGCACACTGGCCGATGCGGGGCCACGAGGCAGTTCAGCCCAGTGGTCAGGAGCCCGGGAGCTGGAGGCTGAGGGCCTGGCCGCAAGGCCCCTTCACGACTGACCGGCAGTGTAACCGGGGGCGCGTGCCCTTACACGCGCTTGGGACCTCAGGTTCCCGAACTGCGAAATTCACGAAGCTGAGGGACCCCCGCCCCAGGACTGCATGACAAATACATGAGCTACTGCATGAAGGCTCCTGCTCAGGCCCCGCCACCCCTGCTCAGGGCCCGCCACTGGTACCGAGCGGCAGGAGGGCACACGCCCAGCGTGGGCTCTGGAGCTGACTGCCCGGCCTCAGCCTCGGCTCTGCACCTTGCCGGCGTGAACCTGAGAAACTCTCTCGACTGCTCCGTGCCTCCTTCTCCCATCTGCCAAACAGGGACAAGGAAACACGTCTTCAAGGGGAGGGGGGCTGGGAGGGTCCCATGAAATGACGTATACGAAGCATTGGCAACAGCACCTGGTACAAAGTCAACACTCTGTTATCTCTTACTAGTTCTAGAGACCATTTTGGTTCAGAAAACATAAAAATAAAAACAGACTATCCTAAGGGACGCACCCCAAATAACTCCGTGGTAGCAGGGCCAGGACGCTGACCCAGGCCCGGAGTTCCCTCCGGCCCCGGGACAAGCCTGGGACACAGAAGCCACCGCACAGCTGCACGGTGGCCATTGTCCTGTGCCGCCAGGAGGGGAGTCCAGTTAACACACATCCTCCCTCAGATGCCCCTGGATGAAAGAGACTCGGGAAACACACTCTTCAAAGGTGGGTTGTAAAGACCAAGCCAGACACACGCAAAACGCCAACCCTACGAGGTTTGCAGAGCGATGCTACAGTCAGCGGAGAGCAGCCACTGACCCCGGGAAACCTCGACTCTGTCCCGCCCCCCGGTGGCTCAACAGGAAGTCCCCAAAACACAGGGTTGAGACCGCCCTGTGTCCCTCCCCCTGAACCCCCGGCGCCTCTCGCTCCCCTGGCATTATCAGAAAAGGAATGGAGTCCGCAGGGCACGTGAGGGTAAAGGTTTCAGCCCTGGAAACGCTTTATTCCGATGCACCTGGAAGGCCCTCTCTCCTGTCCTTGTAAAAAGAGTAGGCTGGGCCGAGGGGGGCAGGGGGTCCCGGGCACCTGCATAGCATAGGCCCCCACTGATTGTCACCCCCACCCCTGCCCTCCTCCATCCTCCCCTCCCCATTCTTCCTCCTGCTTCTCTTCCTGCTCCTGTAACCTGTCGCCATCCTCAGCACTGGACACATCTCAGTCACATCTGACGACGACGAGCGCACTCTGACCCCACCAGGCACACGGTCCAGCACACTCTTTGGATGTCCAGACTGGTTTTCTCCTCCCATTTCTAGTTGCTGCCCAAGACCTTTCCCCATGGCCAGGTCGGTGCCATTCTGACCCCGGGGCAGTGGCTGGCTGACTTCCAGACAGCCACATCCGCCACCCCGCCCCTCCCCGGCTCCACAGCGCCTGGTTGCAGCACCGCCTCCAGGAGCACCCGTGCTGCCCCCGCCCCACAGCGGGACCGGCGGCCACTCAGTCACGGAACCGACAGCACCAGACTCCGGCGGGAGACCTGGACTGCGGTCCTGGCCGCCACCCACACCTCCTCAACCCCGCTGCCTCTCTGCGTCCTGGAAAGTGTTAACACCACCCCCAACGGCAAGAGCTGAGGGGTGGACCCAGGGAGATTCCAGTGACAGAACCTCCCAACCAGCTGGCTGCCACTCCGCTACAGGGTCACGACCCGGCACAGCGGCAGGAGGCACCTTCCTGCAGCAGCCCAAGTGGTGCTGGGCGCCCAGAAAGGAACAGCGCCCCCTGGACCGGTGCCAGGCAGCAGTGCGGACCCGCCGCCACCTGGGGCTCAACTCCAAGACCTGAAGCACCTGTGGAGTCTGGTCTCCTATTCAGAAGCTTCCGAGGAAGCCAGAGGGAAAGCCTGCCTCCCGCCACCTGGGTTTGCGTTTGGGCCACAGCCTGGCTCTTCCCTGTGCTTGCGGAGTGATCAGCAGAGGTCACCGCACGCCCTGGGGGCGCAGCACCTCGGGCGCACAGAGCAACACGGAGCTCTGTCTCCAGGCCGCCCCGCACGGTGGGCGCCCGCCGCGCAAAGCCGTCCCCGCCGCGGTCCTTCTCCGGGACTCGCCGCTGGACTTCTTTTGAATTCTTCCCCTTTTCCGGCTGCCTCCCTGGGGACACCCCGGGGACTGCCGCGTCAAAAGCAAGCTTTAGGGACAGCGTCTCTGGGGCCCCGGACAGGTTTTTCCTCTATACAAGCCCTGAACTGCGAACTTCTAAGACTCGGTCTCCCAAAGACCTGAAGACGCGGCGGCAGGCTCCCGACCGTCCGGAGGCCGCCGGCAAGCACGGCGCTTCCCCCGGCGCGGGCGCTTTCGACAGGGAGGCTATGAACCGCCACTGGCCCGGGCGGGGGCGCCGCCTTTGCGGGGCGGGCTGAGATGGGGCCAGCCGAGGGGTCCCAGGAACGGGCTGCCCGGGGGCTGGACGGGGTCACCCGGTTCTGCTGAGCATCTCGAGGGCCCTCCTGGGCGCGCTCTAGCCGAGGCCGCTCCCGGAACCGGTACTCGGTCTCCACCGCCACGCCGGGCGGGCGGGCAGGCCGGCGGGCCCTTCTCCAAGATTCCCCCATCCCACGCCACGAAGCCCGCCAGCGCCCACTCCCGGGTCCCCGGGTCTCCACGGGAGCGGAGGGCCCCGCGGCAGGGTTCCCGGGGACGGGGCGCCGGAGCCCCAAGTCCGGGCCCGGGCGCCCGGGTACCCCTTCGCTCCCCGCCGCCCGGCTTCCCGGGTGCGCACTTACGGTTCCATCGCGGCGCCCGGGGCCCGCGCCCAGCCTGCGCCCGAGCCCACCCTGCGCCGCACAGCAGCGGCGGCGGCCACCGGCGCGGCGGGAGCGACAGCGGCCCGGTGCAGCCGGCTCCGTGAGCTCGTCCGAGCGCGACGCGCGCGGTCACGTGCGCGGAAGCTGCCGGAACGGAGGGGGCGGGGCCGAGGGAGGGGCCTGCGCCCGGACCTGCCCGCGGGCGGGGAGGGGCCGGGGCTGCGGGAGGGGGCGCGGCCGCGAACTTGGGGTGCGAGGCTGGGTCCGGGGTCGATAGGCGGCGGGGGAGGGGGCGCGAGCGTAAGTATCCCCGCCCAGTGCCTCTAGAGCGCAGAGGCCGGCCCTGAGCCAGGGCTCAAAGTTTCATTCAAGAATGAATGAATGCCGGGACCCTGACTCCCTGTCCGTAGAGGGGGGCGGGGCGCGGGGGGCTCGCGGGGGGGCGGGGCGAGGACCGGGGACTCACACACAACAACTCACCCACTCCCAGGCCTCCAGGGCATCTTAATGGGGCGTAAGAATAGAATCCACGAATACCCTGGGGTTTTCTGCCATACTACGAGCCTGCATTTCTCTGGAAAAAGCATCTCTAACTTAATATGAAAAGTTTTAAAAATTTAAAAAAGATTTTATTTATTATTTAGAGAGATGGGAAGGGAGGGAGAAAGAGTAGGAGAGAAACATCGATTGGTTGCCTCTCACGCGCCCCCAACCAGGGACCCAGTTGACCCGGAATCAAACCGGCAACCTGTTGGTTCTCAGGTTGGTGCTCAGCCCACTGAGCCGCACCAGCCAGGGCTTTGCTTTCTTATCAGTGCACTTTTCCCCGTAGTTATTGCTGTCCAACAAACTACCCTAACATGCAGTAGCTGCATTAGTTATCTATTACTTCATAACAAATTACCCCGGAACTCTGTGGCTTGAAACATTTATTTCTTCCCGTTTCCGTCAGCCGGGAGTCCAGGTGCAGCCTAATGGGGTCCCTTGGCCCGGGCTTTCTCAAAGACTCAGCCACCAAGGTCACACAGGTGGCAGGACCTAGCATTGGCCGGAGGCTGCTGCTCTCAGCTCCTTGCGGCTTTGCTCCATCGGAGTGAGGAAGTGAGCGGAGCCAGAGAGAGTGAGGGCAGACGGAAATCACCTCATCTGACAAGTGACATCGCCTCCCTCTTTCTCTGTTCCTCTCTCTACAAGCAAGTCGCAGGTCCACCCCACAGCCAATGGGTGGAGACCACACCAGCATGTGAAAGCCAGGAGTAGGGGAGGGTCACCGGGGCCACTTTACATGGCACCTACTGCGGTGGCTTGAAGCAACAGCTGGGCTTGTGCTCTCTCATGTTTCGAGGTGGTGATGGAGCTCAGCAGGGCGGTTCCTGCTGGGGGTCGCCCTTCAGAATTCAGTGAGGTGGAGTCTGGGGACCAGTCTTCTGAGGGTTCAAGTTCCCCCAGCTTTTGAGCTGGGGTGGCTGCAAAGCAGGGTGGCGGCCAGGCTGCCTTCCTCTGCGTGGCTCCTCCACAGGTTTAGCCCTGGCTTCCTCCTAGGCCTCGGGGAAGGCAGGTCTCAAATGCACGGGCTGGTTTCTCCTCGGACGGGTGCTCTAAGACCCCAAAGCAGAAGCCATGGGGCTGCTTGTGACCCAGCCTCAGGCATCACTCAGCATCACTGCCACCACCATGTTCTCTTGGTAGAAAGACAGAGCCAGCCCAGATCTGAGGGCGAGGGACAACAGCGGCATGAACCCTGGGGGGAGCAGCTCTTTGGGGTACTCCATCTTTGGAGACCAGCCATCAGCCTTGCTACGTGATGTTTGCTTCCTGTTCCCTTCATCTCCAAAAGCAAGGTAACTACGCACAGAACTTGGAGTCACTTTAAAGTTTACGTCCATATCTCACCCCACCCTCTTAGCAACCACTGACACCAACGCCCCCTTTCCCTCCGCACCTGGCGGTTTTAGTACTTGCAGTAACGAAAGTTGGTCAGCAGGTGCAGGACGGCCCGCCCGTGCCCACCCCAGGCTCCCACTCTCTCAGCCAGCCCAGCCCTTCCTGGTGGCCACACGGGCTCCTCCCACTCACGGGGACTCAGTGTCCAGCTCACCGCTCCCCTCCACCTGCTCCGCCCTGGGCAGTCGGAGTCTCTACGTCTCAGTCCCCGTTTTTAGGCGGAAATGTCTTTTCTTTCATTCCCAGCATTTGAACGGTACCCTCCCATCACTACCCCCAAGCCAGCCTTTGTGCATCCTCCGCTTTCCTGGGCCTGGCATCCGGCCTGGTATTGAACCAATGACAACTGGACTTGTCAGAAGACTGGAAATAGGACCTAGTGTATGTCCTAATCATCTGGGAAATGGGGGACACCTTCCCGTGGAAGGAAAGGGAAGGGGCATGGGGGCTGTGAGACAGTCAGTCGGGGGGCGGGGGAAGCTGAGTGGGCTCCCGCCCTCAGGCGGGGGCGACCACTGGTCTGGTTTTCCTGAGTGGTTCCTGGTTTCACATGGAAAGTCCCACGTCCTAGGACCCCTCAGTCCCAGTGCACCAGGACAGATTGTCACCTTCCTCGCAGCCCCCACTTTATTCTGTGACTTACAGGCTGAAGTTGTCTTAACATGTAAGAACATCCTGGCTTTGAGGTTCCCTCAAAGACAGAACTGAGGGGAACACGTCCGTGTCAGCCTGGTGGGGAGCAGGTATGACCCCGGGGACGGGGGACGGGACAAGGGCATGTGGCCAGGCTCAGAGAGCGAATGTGAGGGAGGGTGAGCTGCCCAGCTTCGGCCCAACTCAGCAGCTTGCTCTGTCTTGCGGGCAGCTCCAGAGACAGGGACGGAAGTCCTTCTGTGCGGAGCCACTCTGTGGGCTCTGTCTTGCTGTCTGCCACCCACGGGTCAACATGTGACCTGCACGTCCGGGGTGTGTTCTGGCCCCTGCGAGCAGCCACGGGGCAGCGGGGCCTGCGGACAAACGAGCCTCCCTCCACGGCCAGCGGTGGGGCTCCTCATAGCAACAAGTCCCTCTGAAACCCCTCCTTTAGACACTCCGTGAGTCACCGCGACGCCCCTGGAGCATGCCTGCGGCAGCCCAAGGCCAGGAGAAAAGAAACAAAGCCGCCAACGTCTCAACTGCAGAAATGCAAACCCTGAAAACTGGGAGGCGCGCCTCAGACCCGGGCAAAGCCGGGGGAAGGCGACTGAGGTCTGGTCTTTCGAACCAACACACGCCTCCCTTCCCAACCCGGGTGCTCGTCCCCAGAAACAGAGCATTCCTGTCCCTCCAGGGCCAGGCGAGGGTGTTGGAGGCTCCCTTACCCCACACACTCTGCCCCGCCCCCTTGCCCCGCCCACTCTGCCACGCCCACGCTGCCCCGCCCCGGCCCCGCCCCACTCTGCCCCGCCCACTCTGCCCCGCCCCGCCCCGGCCCCAGGCCCTCCATCCTCCGGACTCAGCTAGACTGGGAAGGCAGACGCCGCAGGCTTCCTCTCTCGGTGACCTGTCCGGTGGACAGGTTACAAGACTGGCCCCGGACTTGGATTTAAATTTCGAATCTCCCCTGAGTATTCTATTTTCTGGGCCATAGAGCGGACTGAGAAGTGTCCCCAAATGTCCCTGAGTCTGACCTGGCTTCAAAACACTGTCTCCAGGCCAAGACAAAGGACAGGAATTCTCAGAGGTCACGGAATGGCCTGGGGGGAGGTCCGGATGCCCTAACTGGGGGTTCCCCGGGTGACATACATGCGACGCCACCTCCAGGCGACACACTCCTTGAGGGCTGCAAGGTGCCAGGCCCGAATGGGACAGCGCGGGGTCCAAACGTCCAAACAATAAATGGGAAGAGACTGCCGGAGAAGCTTCGAAAGTGTGAAGAGGACAAGGAGGTAGGGGCGCAAGAGAGAAGTCCCCTGCAGGGACCAAACCGAGGCCCAGTTCTGGTCCTATCCTTGAGGACCGCACAGTGCAAGGGCCTGAAAGGGACCACTGGGTTTGAGGCCAGAGGTCACCAGCCACGTGGGCAAGGGCAGCTGCAGACCTGCGTGGTGAGTTCGAGGTTCCGAGGGGTCAAGGAAGAGGAGACCACCTAGTGGCGGTGTTGTGCAACGGCCTCTGTGGGTGGCACTCGGACAGGCGCACACCGGGGCGGCCCCTGTCAGCAGGAGGCCCTCCTGACACCACGACCAGGGCCACCGCCCAGAAGGGGAACGGGGCGCGCGAGCTCCCAGGGGACAGGGGGATCGCAGACATGAGTGACGTGTCCAGTCGCTGAGCCGCAAGGCGAGGAGACGGGGTTGCAAAGCTCCCCGAGGCTGCAGCAGCGAGGGCTGGGAGAGCCACCGTGTCTGTTACGTCTATGGCGAGCCGACGTTGGGGGCGGTTTCACGGGTGTGCGCTTACGCGGGCTGCATGTAAAGCAACTGGGTGTGCAAGAATTGGAGGTAGTCACTGGTGGGAGTGAGTTAGGCCGCTTCTGCGAAACAAGCGCAGAGACAAACAACAAGAAGCCAAGGAGCAGAGACCACCTTTAACCCATTTGCAGGGCAGCAGGGCGGGGGGCGGGGCCAGGGGCGGGGCCAGAGTGACGTAGGTTGTGACGATGTGTGGTTGCTCCGCAAGGAGGCGGGGCTGAGGGAACTTGGTCTGGACAGGGTCGTAAGTGGATGGAGGAGGCATCAGAGCTGGGGAAAGACTTGAGACACGAGGACAAGTGGGTGCAGTTGAGCCACCTGGCCCACCTGGGGCCTCTGTCCTGTCCCAGACAGAAAGCAACAGCTCTGTCTGGGCCCTCCCCGGGCCAGGGCTGTGGCTAACTCTCAGTCCCCGGGCACATAAGCTCAACGGGCTTCTTTGTCTACCTTTGGCGTGGAGGAGAGAGAGAAGCTGGTTCTAAAATCACAGTCTTGTCAGGGGCGCTTGTCGTCCTTCCAGCCAACAAAGAAACAAAAGACAGAGAGAGATGTCGGGACTCCACCGTTCACAGTGGAGTTGGCTCCACGAACTTGCAAACGAGGAGAACGGCAGGCCCGCTGCGACCCGGACACTGGAACCGGCAGGGACGGGCCAGGGTGGGAATGTGCAGGCCTCTCAGCCTGCCTGCAACCAGACCAGACGGACTCATCCGAAGCGGAGCCTGGAAGCGTGGAGAGT